GGTCCATACCGTATGCGTACGGTCCAAATACTCATATAGTCTGGAACAAATATACACTTTCCTTTTCAAAACTACCCAACATTGCTTTTAAAAAACGTATGCAAGAATCTACAAACAATGGCATATTTTCAGTAATGGTGTTTTAACATCATCATTATCTTATCTTGTTCACAGACAATTCATTTCAAATTTAAAGAAAAAAAAAATCCGCAACAACGTTTTGGTGACCAGTCAAGTGTTTTTTTTAAAGAAAGCAACTTTTTAAATCTGATGTTACATTTGGTTTCTGTTTCCCCAAAATATTCCAGCTTGTAAGTTCCATAGGTAAGAACACAAATACTATTTTCTGATTTACAAATAGATATTGTATAGATGTCATATTCCTGTTTGACTGTGTTGATTAAAGTGTTTTATATTCATTAGCTGCACCGATAAGATCTTGTTCGTCTTTATGCCTCTACTTGCTTACTACATTTATGTACCACTTCAATTTTACTCTTGGGGTAATAAACGCATCATAGATATCACGTGTACTATTGTGAACGCCAGACGCGCGTTTCGTCTACAAAAGACTGATCAGTGACGCTCGAATAAAAACAACTGAAAAGGACAAATAATACGAAGTTGAAGATCATCGAGGACCAAAATACAGAAAGGTTTTTGCTAGAAAAAGCGAAGGTAACCAATCTATTCCTGAGGTAGAAAATTCCTACAATAGCTGTCTGATGCAATCAATCTTTATCTCTTCATGTGTATATTGCCATGGCAAGGAATAATATATTATGGTTTTATGGCGATACATAAAATTAAATAGTTGACCTTGACCTTTTATTTGACCTGAAAGACATGTAAGCCCAAAAATATAGCGATAGTCAGATTATAACATTTTGTCTAATTTCGAAGGACGAATAATGCTTAATATAACCAAAAACAACTCACATTACATTTACCATAAAAAGCCTAATGAGAGCAACAATAATGTGACATTTAAATGGACATTTTTTTTCTATTATATACTTTAAGGTTAAGTTGTTGTCTTTGTAAGTGCAAGTTTCATAGGGCGAAGTAGCTCTATTCATTTCCGAGAGGACCCCAAACAATGTTTTGCTGATTTCTTTTGTTGGATCAGATATTGAATGCTTATGAAAAATAGTTGAAGACACCTGAAGATTCCCTTCTTCGATGAAGTCGGCCTTGTTCCTACCAACAGCCGCACTTCCTGTGTCTGCTTGTTTGGTAACAATATAGTCTCGGTCTATTATGTTTATCATGGCTTTGCTTTCAGATTTTATATATTTAATTTCACAGACATTCACGATTAAATTACAATAGAGTGATCACGGTGATATGATCCATTTTACACCATGCATACTGATGGTGGATATCTGTTATTAGAAATATTTATTGATAATTGTATTGCCTGTTCTTTTTTGTAAGATTGGTGTTGTTTTTTACACGTTTTTACCGTGTACTAGTATATATTAAGTCATTTATTGTGAACAGTGAAAATGGGCATCGTTCTTCATAACTACCTAACTCTCTCGTAAGAAAGATTGTTGACTATTATCTAGACATTTTGAATATGATTTATCAATTAGAGTGAATTAACCCTATCTCAATTGACTAATTGCAGTGAAGTTACTACACCTCAGTTTACGAATAACAGTGACATTTATTTTCGAAAAGGAACTTACATTTTACCTTAACCTCAACTGTCCAAATAATTGAAGTTCTTTAAAATATTAAATATCACTAGCACTTTCATGCCTTTTGACAATCTTCAGGAACAATTAACACCATCCTTGACGATGAACATTTTGAGATAATATTTTTTAAGACCGACAACATCGACGCGGAGTAGTGAGGTCTTTTAGAAACCCTATGGTTTCTTCATTTAAAACTTAAAACCAAACAGTGCTTGTATAATTCTAAATTTCAAACTGCATGTTTGTTTATCATTTACAACCGAACTATGTATCTATGAACATGATGAAACTAACGCACCTTGTTGCGGTGGTTATCACTTCGCAATTACACTTCGCCTTTACATTGATCCTATTTATTGCCAACGTTTTAATAATCTGATTTAAAATATTTCTCTACTTCTAAGAAATGTTGTGGTCTACGATCGTAATAGTATGTCTGTCTGTGTCAGATGATCTCATCAGTTGGCTAAGAGGAAGGTTTGATTCTCATTCATAATCACTACGGTGGCCATTCGTGCGTTCGTAAAATGGCTGTTTTAATGCATCAACATACTGTTTAACCCATTTACACGTTTAGCGGATAAATAAGTACTCATCGGAAAGTCTTAAAGCTTTCGGCCGATTGAATGCCAGAGTATCCGGGGCGATGGAGATCTGTTTTAGGGTTTGTTTCCATTTTTTGCGGATAAGGCATATTAAATTGTTGTATTTAGCATGGTTAGTCAGCGCAGGATCGAGTAACATCAGAAAAGATGGACAATATTCATCCTAAACCATACAGATGAAGGATATATGTTATCCGAAATATGTCTTGATACTTGTATTACATGTAACTGTTTCCTTTTGGTAATATTGGAGTTGTTGTGAAACATTTTATATGCGTATACTATATATTAACTGAAAGAAAGTCAAGTTCAGAAACCGTTGACCACAATTAAATATGTATTGGAATTAGAATCGAAGCAAAAATTACACTTAGAATTATAGCATAATCATAATTTTGAATTAGTTTACCGAAAACAATTATAGCTGACAATACGGTAGTTTCTTTTCTTATTGCTAAAGGCCGTACGATGCATTCGAAGGTCAAACCCTATAGTTTCTTCATTTAAAGGCTTATAGTCATGTATTATAGTTGAACATGTATGTCGTATTGACAATAATAACACATCTTCAGTTTTTTTTTTTTTTTTTTTTTTTTTTTTTTTTTTAGACATGTAAGACGCAGATCGACGTTCGATTTTATAATCGACATCCATATCTCAAACCGGAGGTCCATGTACTGTCATTGTGTCCCAGATCATACAAATTTAAGATGTGGGATTAGACGTTTCATAGACCAAATAACGTAGAAACTCAATATGCCTCCTCTAATTGATGTTCAATTCGATTTGTTTTATAAGATCAAAGTCCGTGCTAATTGGCGCCTTACATAACTTGAAAATTATTTTTATTTTCTTCTTTTTTCTATTTAATTCTACCGTTAAATACAAAACGGCAAAAAAAGAAAACAAATTACCAAAATCTGATCCAAAAGATGAATGAACGGATAGGTGTTTATCGTTCAGTGGTAAATATTAGATGCATGTAAGGACGAGTAAGTGTGTATGTGATAATAATATGAACGATCTCTTTCTATCAAAACCTAGTCCACACCTTCCTCTAAGTCACTTTTCTGAACGCGGGAAAAAAACACACAATGAATAAAATCATAATAAAAGATTGAATAGGTCAGTTATTTTCATTTAGTATTAAAATAAAAAAACAATAAACAAAATTATTTCATTACTTATTTTTTTATATGCTATTAGAATTAAGAAAAAAATATGCTACTTTATAAACTCATCATAGATACCAGGATTGAAACTTTGTATTTGCGCCAAACGCACGTTTCGTCTACAAAAGACTCTTCAGTGACGCTCCAATCAATAAAAGTTAAAAAGGCCAAATAAAGTACGAAGTTGAAGAGCATTGAAGACCACAATTCCTAAAATATTGGCCAATTACTGCTAAGGTAGTCTATTCCTGAGGTAGAAAAGCCTTAGTATTTCAAAAATTCAAAGTTTTGTAGACAGTTAATTTATAATTAGGACCATATCAATGATAACGTAAATAAATGTACTCAACTAGATGGTGTTTGTACCAATCTGAAGTTTATGTGCCTAGATATGGGTTTGTATTTGCATACTAGTGGAGACATTGCAGGAGATTTTTTCTTTGTTTCTATAATTTCGTACGTTTGCTAAAAAGTTATGATCAACCTTCAACACATGTTTTGTCTAGATTTTTAATGATAATGTTGTACAATAAAAGGGGGTCTACCTCTGAAATGTAGTACGACGTACGAAATTGATCCCCATTATTCTTCAAAAATAGTACATCGAGTAATATATTCGATTTGGATAATTATTTTAGCATATTCCCCTAGATGCATAGACGTCAACGTATCGGATACTTTAGATATGTTTTAAATTGATCGACCTCTAGTAGAAGGATGAGTAGTATTCATTGTCATATTAGTACATGCATATATCAGGACGAGAAAAATGTACACGTGATATAAATCTAAATCTTCAACACCTTGCTTTGTACTAGACCTAGACCAACAAGCTGAGTCGGATGTTTTGTTTTTCAAAGTTACATTGCTAGTACTAGTCCACAAGCAGATACATGTCACCTACTCAGATACACTATTCCGACTGTTTTTCGATCAGTCTTTAATTTCAGGAGGATATTTTGTTGTTTTATTTGGTTTGATGTAACATTTCACGATTCAAGTATAAAACTATTTCCGATTGCATTGAACAATCGTACCATATTAAAGATGGAGATACTTTATAAAAATTACCATAAGAAATAACCATATCATTAAAAAAAGATTGAAAAGTGTTCATAATTTTTGCAAAAATCTAAATTTTAGTAAGCGGTACTGGTCTTTCACAAATATTTCACGAATAAATAAAATTAAATAAAAGACGGTACATGATCTTGTATCATCAAAAATATCAAATTTATATAAATATGTATTCTAAAATGTGGTCTAGCTACTGCAAATCAATTTTAAGAGTCTTTTGAATAGAAGTATAGATTAACAATCGAAAAGATTACATTCGCAACCAATCCGATGCAATATTGTTCACCTAAGTTTATGATTATTCTTTAACTAAAATCTGACTCGATATACCGGATGACGGTCGTGTATTAACAAAGTAGTTTGCACATAGGTTGTTTGTCAGACCTAAATGCACAGCTAAAAGTGCATTATTACGCAATCTTATTAAGCATCATCTTTTTATCGGTAAACAACATATAAATAGAAAATGATCATCTCAGTATTCTGGTTTATATCAGGGACTCGTTTCTAAACACATATTTTCGTTACTTGACAAGTACAAATGTAGGATATAATAAATTGAATGTAAGTATAAACTTCGACTTGAAATAATAAGATGATTAAATAACTTATCATAATGACTATAACTAACAAGTCTCTAAGTAATGCAAAATAACATCAGCCAAATTGTAATCTGCATACGTAATTTAGGTTAAGATAATTTCTCTCCTTCAAATTCTACAGTATTATTGTAGTAATTATGAGATATCAACTACCGCTATGAGAAAATCGAGAGACAATAAAATTTAGTCTTAGATGCATGATTTTTGTATTAGTTGTTAGTGGCTTTGCACTAGCTGTCAGTAACTGCGAGTACTCTCAGATATTTGGTATTTTTGGTATTTTTGTTGTTGGAATATACTAGTACCCGGCCACGTCCACTCTGTGTCTTTGTTAGATGTATTTCTATTTGTATTCATCTGATGAGTAAAACCTTTTTGCAACTGTTTTATATTTCGTTCTTATGTTGTACTGTTACACCACTGTCCCAGGTAAGGGGAGGGTTGGGATCCCGCTAAATGTTTAACCCCGCCACATTCTGTATGTATATGCCTGTCCCAAGTCAGGAGCCTGTAAATCAGCGGTTGTCGTTTGTTGATGTGTTACATATTAGTTTTTCGTTCATTTTTTGTACATAAATTAGGCCGTTAGTTTTCTTCTTTGAATTGTTTAACATTCGTAATTTCGAGGCCTTTTATAGCTGACTATGCGCTATGGGTTTTGCTCATTGTTGAATGCCGTACGGTGACCTATAGTTGTTAATTTCTGTGTCATTTGGTCTCTTGTGGAGAGTTGAATCATTGGCAATCATACCACATCTTCTTTTTTTTAAGTATTATTGCCGATGATTTCAATTATTGATATTTGAAGTAGAAGAAGAAGGAAAATGTTACGGATTTCCTCAATTATATACTGCGAAGTATAATCAATAAGGTGTTGTATGTACCACATTACTAGGTTAGATGCAGAAAATTAAGAAAACAATAGTTATCCAAATTGACAAAAATACATTAATATCCAATGCAACGAAGTTTTCTGGGATTTATTGCTTAACCTGCCCGTTGATGTGTCAATTTGACGGGCATTAATGTTTGTAGGATAGGGCTTAAATAATTTGTCCAATATATTCGTCATATTTTTATGAAAGTGTTTATCCATCATAGACACGTAAGATTATTGTTATCAAAAGAGTATAAATTTGGGATTTTTTTTTTCGGAGAAATTGCACTCACGTGTTTAACAAGACCATTTTATGACTTGTAGCAAGGTTTCAACCCAATAAAGTCTCGGTCGAGTTCGATAACTAAACAAAAAGGGAAAATTTTGTTTTTCATGAATATAATTTAAAATTAAACCATTGCCGTAACGTCAGCCTATTCATTTACAGAGGATTTTTTTTCTAGAATCAAAGCTTCCTAAACCTGTAGCTGAAATGGACTCATCAAATTATATTCAATTGTTTCCTTTGTGTGCCTAATTTCATTAAATTTGAATTGCTTTATATCCTGATTTCTGTACACTAATGAAATTAATTTTATAACTTACCTTTAACTATTGTAATTTGAATATGCCTTCACTTGAAATAGAACTCCTTGAAATTTGTTATTTGTGACTGACATCACCACACCGACTTAACATCTCGACTACTAATGTGTTGCATTTTAAATGTCTATCATATATAAAAATGAACATATGATTTAGTCTTAGATGCATGATTTTTTTGTTTTAGTTGTTAGTGGCTTTGAACTAGCTGTCAGTAACTGTGAGTACTCTCAGATCAGTGATTAGTGTCTTTTTGTTGTTGGGATATACAAGTACCCGGCCACGTCCACTCTGTGTTTTTGTTGGATGTATTTCTATTTGTATCCATCTGATGAGTTAAGCCTTTTTCAACTGATTTTTATAGTTCGTTCTTATGTTGTACTGTTACACCACTGTCCCAGGTTAGGGGAGGGTTGGGATCCCGCTAACATGTTTAACCCCGCCAAATTCTGTATATATGTGCCTGTCCCAAGTCAGGAGCCTGTAATTCAGTGGTTGTCGTTTGTTGATGTGTTACATATTTGTTTTTCATTCTTTTTTGTACATAAATTAGGCCGTTAGTTTTCTCGTTTGAATTATTTTACAGTCGTCATTTCGGGGCCTTTTAGAGCTGACTATGCGGTATGGGCTTTGCTCATTGTTAAAGGCCGAACGGTGACCTATAGTTGTTAATGTCTGTGTCATTTGGTCTTTTGTGGAGAGTTGTCTCATTTGCAATCCTACCACATCTTCTTTTTTATATATAATACACATCGGTACCACGGACACTCGTAGTGTGTACCTTTATTCATATTATACATAAAAGACAATCGTATGATATAAATTGGTAGCCGTGAGGTTAAGATATCAAGAGAAAAAAGATACATGCGTTATAGAGTCAAGTTAGGAGTAGAGACTTGTCGGTTTAGGTTTGAATCTCTGATTCATTGTGCTGTCCCTATTCTTTAGTTTTTCTGTTTTTCTTATTTGTTATGTTATTGTGGATATTTTTGTAACAAAAGCGGATTTTCCCGTTTAATTTTGGATTCTTATTGGTCATTTCGCGTATTTAAAAAAAATGGATTACATTCAATTTAGGAATTTTTGTTTTAGAATGATTTCATCTGCTTTACCATTTATCTTTACAAATGTTTGGTTTGCAAATATCTATGCAAGTAATTTGTGATGTGTCTGAAATTAGGTTTCTTGCAAGAAATTACGGTAACATACTTATTTACTAAAAACTAAGTTTGAATATGTCTTATTTTGTAAATTGCGGAAAATATTCAGATGCATTATAATTTGAAGACAGACGTGTTATGTTATATTGGTATTTCTCTTATTCTTACACGATTTATCCCTTTCCTGACCTGTTGATTATTTTTATTTAATCAACGTATGCTTCGTTTGATCCCAGTTCGATTATGACGTCAACTCGTCTCGCTCTCCTCTGAATTTCTATTTGTGATGTCATGAAAAAAGGAGACCATGACTTATGACGGCACATATAAAGAAGTTCAACACACCTTTTGCTGATCATTCGAATGAAAGAATTGAATGTGTCTGCATTTCGTTTAAAAATCATTAGAGAAACAGATTCCACCATAAAATATTGTGCAATACGATATTTATCCACTAACGGCAGATACATTTAAAATATGTAAAACGCTCGGCCAGCCTCGAGATTTAAATTTGAAAATTTAACAGTCTGGAGTGGATAAATATCGTACCACACTTGATGTAGGGATAGAACCTATATTTCTTTAACCAATTAATTGTGAACTCTAATTTATTCACGCATCATCGAACATGATAACAGACCGGTTATTTATACTCACTTACAATACCTTCATATTAAATTATAAAAATAATATTATTCATATTAAAGGCTTTAATTTTGAAAAGAAGTTTAAATAATAGATACATTGAATAAACGTCGATTCATGAAAAACAAACAATTCGCCCTCCGGCTCATGGTTTCTTTTTCAAGAAATAACGTTTATTCCTTGTATCTATAATACGTATTGTCATTACAGTATAGCTAACTATACCATGATAGAACATCGACTTTTTCACTAGACCCTCATCAAACTTGATACAGGTTTCCACACATCAAAAACTCTTTTGGGTTCAAAATTAGAAAACAATTGAAAAAAAGAAAATACTTGTTTAAGACAGTTACACATATATCCCTATAGTATATATAATTTTCATCTCTTTCAATGAAAACACCATACTTCATTTCATTCGTAGGATCTTCCCTCTCTTGTGGGGGAATGGGGGTAAACCAACTTTCTCATTACAGGTGTTTCAATTCCAACAAATTAAATATGAACAAAAAAAAAAATTCTTTGGAAAAGTTGAAATAATTTATGAAAATTAGATTAAAAAAAAGGGAAAAGAAAAAAAGTTAGCATAAGTGAGAATACAGAAAATAAACAATGCAATAAAAATGAACATTGATTATCGTTTTAGATTTTAAATTTGTTTTTAGTTTTTCATAGAAATTGATATTGTTATTCTTGATTACAAAATGTCGAAGTTAAAGAGAACAGACTTGAATAATAATTTATTTGAATCATTTTTATTTTTAAGAATGGAAATATTGACTTACAACCCTGACGATTCCTCTTTGATTGCTCAGCAACAACAAAGCAAAGAACATCGTCAAACAGTCAGGACGCTCAAGGTTTTAGGTGCTGTACAAATTGGGTTAGGATTAGTGTTGGCAATATTAACAATCGTTCCAGCAAAATTAATCCTCATGCCAGTATTTGGGTGCTGCTTTTTGGTAAGTGAAACATTTGGGTACAATTTAAATAAAAAACAAGAGCAAAATACTGCTGTATATGCTAATGATTAATGTTATAGACAAAACATATACTATGTAAAACTAATACTTAAGATTTTCAATACAGCAACAAGATGCTGCACCTGGAAGCATGCTTCACCTGGTCTCTTAACAATAATGTATACTAAACTCCGAAACTTATAGATGAACCAAAATATAAAAAAAAAACATACTAGGCAAACACAGGTCAGAGGGCCCTGACTTGGGACAGGCGTAAACAATAAGATATTAAGCTGCTCATTTCGATATGATTTCTATAGACAATATGTATCACCAATTAGAAAAAAAAAGAGATGTGAAAGACACCAAAGGAATAGTCAAACCCACTAGTCGAAACAAACTGACAATGAAATGGCAGAAAACTAAGAACGATCAAAAGAAAAACCACAGTACACAAAACACAAGATAAGGAACTAAAGATGAAGGCAACACGAAGAGGAAATTCTAAACCAAAAGGAGAAATGAAAAGTTCAGACATAATCTATTGCAACACAGAACATTTTCAACACCAAAATAAAAATTATATTTACTAGGACGTTATTTGGTTACTTAGATCAATTTTGGAGATATCGAAACAAAAGTCTTCAAGTGCCGATCGACATTTGTTTATATCTATTTCCATTTTTTAGAGGCCGAATAAAAGTAACTGTAAGGTGATTAAAGAAACTCGTTCACTTATGGTTTTGGTAATGTCCTATTGGGTGAGATTGCTTAAATTTATATGACGCTTTGCCAAATTCAATTGCAGTGTTTATATGTCCTCTTCCTTCTTAGGTTTTTATATTAGAAATTATTAACTTGCAGTATGTCATTACTGGATCCCTGCCATTGTTCATAACAAACAATCTAGATTCGAACTTCAGATGTAAGGTTGGTGTTTTAAAATAAACGGAAGCAATGAAAATTTCTATAACAAAAGGTTAAACTCTTGATTGATCACATCTGTTTCTATAATCATTTACAGCTTATTGTAGATTTAATCTTTGAAATAAACGTATTCACCAAAGGGATATTCAAACTCATAAGTCTATAACGCTGACATAACAATGGCAAAAAAAAACCCGAACGAAAAACACCTAACAGCGGTACCCAAAATACAACATAGAAAACGGACAACTAAACAACACGAACTGCACTAAAACACGGGATAATCTCGGTGCTCAGGAACGATAAACAGATAAGGCACCCGTCGTATTGATCATGGAAGTACAAATCAGATGATAAGTCTAATTTGGTACTTCACATTAGAAGAGAAGAGTACGGGATTGTCGTTACGACAGTTGGAACATTATCATCGCCTTCTGTAAAAAATGAGTTACCTCATGATAATGACCTCCCATAAATACTCAACATTCATTTTTGGGATACGAGTGCCGTCAGGCAATCTGTAGACTTTTACCATTAACTCCCTTCCAAGTCTCTCACGTCAACCGTTTCGTGTTTACATTAATAGGAACAACTCAGATCCTTAAGATTGTCCTGTTATAAAAAGTAAAAACAAACAAAGAGTTTGAATTTAAACTACATTCTGTTAAATTTCTTCTCATAATCATCCTGTTTTGATATCTCCATTTTTCATTTGCGTTTATTTTCCAATACGGAAAATCAGAATTAAGCAGTATTCATATTTCGGGTTTTATATATTTCGAATCACATCAAAGAGGGAATTTCGTAACCCGAAAATCCAGTCGTCATATTACGATCACTTCGATCACTCCATTAATTAACGCCTGCCAACCGGAAATTAAAAACAAGCTACATCATGGGATCAATATATCCTGACGTATGGCGCGAAAAAAGGAGGAGATTAAAATTGTTTGTAAACATGTGCAATGGAGCACGAAAGGTGTTTTCAATGTTCACACGTGTTTGAACAGAAGAATTTAGCGAAGGAATGCAGACGAAATATTCAGAAGTTCATGGTGAAATCGATATAACTAGTAGAAATTTTTAAGTCAATTTACGGTGGTGTTGAAATGCATGATGGTTTTGAACAAGAATGTTTTGTTTGCAGTAAGTGCCATAATGTCATACAGGACACCTCGAATAATCCAGTCATTATATTACGATCACTTCGATCACTCAATTAATTTGACCTTGCCAAATTTCATGGAATTTTATTGTACTACCTGGATTGGATAAATTTGATCAAAAGGGCAAAATTTTGAAGGAAAAACAAATTTTAATGTAATTTTTTTAGTATTTTACTGAGAAATTAAAATGTACTCAGTTATTTGTAATGGGGGAAAGTCATTCAGACATCAATGAATAGCTTTTTTTTTAACCAGACATCAATGAATATCTAGTACTTATATCTCAGTCATCAAAATTTCCTTAAACATGTTTAATGTAATGAACAGTGGACATAATCAAGAAATGCATCAGAAGAAAAGGGTTGATTATTTCATACTGACAGAAGAGGGTGTTAATGGGGGTACCTTCATGACGAATAACGGTAAAAATTCTTTTCAAATGACGTTGACGGTAATATTTGGTGCATAACGATAAAATGTACACTTTCTTTAAGACGATAAAAAAATTGACTGATTTTGACGAATCACGTTAATTTTTTCCCCAAAATGACGGTAACGATAATTTCTGGAGACCTCTGACGAATCACGATAAGGATATTTTGAGGAATCACGGTAAAATTTTAACCAATTTAACGCTAACAGTAGCTGAAAATGACCTTTTGACGCCTGACGGTAAAGAACATTACTACCCTTACAGAAGCATGAGTAGCAAAATCTCATGTACAAAAAATGTATGGAACTTATAATTTGGTACGCTAGAAATGCTACATAAAACTCATCAGTGGCACATAAACAAAACAGTAAGAAAGTCAAATCAAATCAAAGTTGAAAGTTGAAGAACATAAAAAAACAGGGTTTCGTTTAATCCATTAGATTTTTTTTGTTAAATTGAGATACCGTTTTCCAAAAAGCTTTCATTCATGATAGAATTTACAATCTTGCCCGCGATCATCATTTAAATGTGTGCAATTTTGGAAGACGTGTAGGATTTTAACATTTTGGGCCATATGAATCCTAAACCCAAAGAAAGAACCGATTGACTTTTGTGTGCTTGTACAAATGTATATTTTTGACACTTAGTATACATGTGTGATTGATAATATTTAGAAGGAATCTATACTACTAAAGGAAGAGACTGATTTCATTGAGCCCCAAATCCTCTGAAACCATACAAAGTCGGAAATATTTGTGATATCACGTATTAATCTAGTGTTTTGTTCTTCCTAAATTTGTCTTTGAAACACTTGTTTTTCGCAGAAAATGCCAATGTTTGAGAAAATATTCAAATTTCGGTGACCATTATCGATCTTTGTCTTATACGCTGTCGTGCATGCTCAATCGACGTACTGCACGCGAAATCTAACTAATATAGTACAATGGTGTTGATTGAAAACTAGAACAATCCAGGTCCTTTTGTTTTCCACTTAATTAACAACCAGTTATTAACAAGTTCTGGGTCGATTCCGAGCCCAATAGCACCTATTACCTCTTACATAATCTGTACGTTCCGCCTCTGTCAGGTGCACTACCAAACGGTGTATATGGGATCAAAATCACACCTGAACTTTGTCATTATACAGGGATTGACACTTTGACCCAAACATATATCTACAGGTAGTTTCCAGTTGTAGTAAGAAAAGCAGGACGGGTTCAAACAAAAAGATTTTAAAAGTAAAGAAAACTGTGCGCCTTACAATCAACATGACTTTGTCAAATGAAAATATGAATACTAAATATCCAGAGTGAAAATAAGGTGTAGATCCTTCAATTTAGTCACAAACCCGCGTTGTGGCGGGTGTGTTCTAGTATTTTTAAAAAGAGAGGGTTTGAATTTCCAATCATCAAGCAAATGTAGAGCAAATTTAAAACTTAATAATTACATTGTTCATGTATAAATATACACTTGTATCAGAGATGGGCTATTTTTAAAAATTTAAAAACGATATGCAGATTGAATCAAATAGGGAATACATGTGCAGTTGAATTATTTATGAGAATAATACTAATATCAATGAAAACAATGGCGATCGTATCCCTCAGAGCAATCATGCTCTTTGATTAAATGCTACCGCCCCTGATTCATGTGTACTATAAAAGATAGTACATATATTTCATCTACTTCTCTTCATATATTTTTATTCATTCATAAGCATAGAATGATCTTAGAATGGTCGTAGTTCATTGATTTTCTAAAAAAACTAAGCGATATGTCAGCAAAGTTATATAAGACTATCATCAATCAAATTTTAAAACGCATCTTTATTGATACGGTCCTTGATTTGTTTCGTGAAATCGTTAAAAAGTCTAGAAATTTATTGATTTACCTCCATATGCTGATTTCTTTTCAACTTACATTGGAGTGTTTCTTTATCCGATGGAGTTATAAGGTTGCCAAATGTCCAAAAGACGTGGACTCTGGTTGTCTAAAGTATCTTTGGACTAAAACATGTCCTTAGATAGTGTAAGAACATATCTTAGTCCTATGTGATGTATTGAACGTGTCTTAGGTAAAGATAAATTCTACACTTAATCGTTAAGCTTTGATATTACAATACATGTCCGAAGATGGTCTCATAATGGTCAGAAATAATTTTTCTTTTAAAATTGAACCGATAAAACCATTATTTGCCAGCGTTTTAAGCGTGATAAGTATGCGACTTGATTAAATATTATATCAGAGATAGATAAACAACGAAAACAATGTAAATACTTTCAAACAATGTACTAAATATAATGTATCCGTTCGATGTGTTACCATGAATTTTTCGTGTTATGCGTACATGAATTCGTCTAACGGTGCAAGGTTTACTTTGATCAATCATACGCAATATGGAAGAATTGCGTATGATGCATACATGCCTTTTAGATCGACGTACAAAATGTTTACCCTAATTTCAACATCTTGAGAGCCTCATATCTTTTTAACATTTTTAACTTTAAGTCAAAGAATAACCATACTTCTTCTCACCAGTCACCCTTACTTAGGGAATTGAATGTCAATCATTAAGTTGTATTACTACCAAAAAAATAAAACCTAGTTGATAGTTTATAACTTGACGTTTTCATTCATTTTCTTTGTTTTATATAATAATGGTATTATCGTTTGAATCATCACATACGGCATTATAAGTCTAATGCTAGTTTTCTAACCGTAGTGTTTTTTTCTGTTGAATTAAATTATACATATTGTTTAAATGTAGTAAATTGAAAAATGATTTTTTAAATAGAAGAAAAATATAACATCAGATTCAATTTGTCCATCATGATTAGAACTATCTTCAGACAGCCTAAATTTACAGTCTAGGACGTATTCTAGGATAGTCTTATGAAAGTCATACAATCTGTCATTATAAATGTCACAGTGTATGTATTAGGATACTTTCGAAATCGGGCTCTCCAAGATATACCCTGGTCTATGAGAAGGAATGAAACTGCTTGACGTTTAGTTTTCATTTACCCATGTATTATTTGTTATATAGAATAATACACAAACAATTATTACAATAGCAAATAGCTACCAAAGGTACCAGGCTTATAATTTAATACGCCAGACGCGCGTTTCGTATTCATAAGACTCATAAGTGACGCTCAGATCAAAATAGTTAGAAAGCCGAACAAGTATAAAGTTGAAGAGCATTGAGGACTCAAAATTCCAAAAAGTTGTGCCAAATACGGTTAAGGTTATCTATGCCTGGGATAAGAAAATCCATAGTATTTCGAATAATTTATACTTTTGCAAACAGTATAAATTTATAAAAATGACCATATAATTGATATTCATGTCAACACCGAAGTGCTGACTACTGGGCTGGCAGAGTCCTGGAAAATATTTAAGTCCTGTCCTTTGTTATCAGTATAAGGTTTAATTGTTTATAAGATGTTTAATATTTGTTTCAGAAAATTAGCTTTATGGTGTGCAGTATTATAGGAGCAGTAATTTTTTCTCCAGTTATAATATTCACTTCGATTCTGAAAATAATATTAGTGAGTAATAAAATTTTTGTTGCACACATTTTTACATAGATAATTTTAAGAAGTATTTTCTCAATGAAACAACAACAATGCTACCATGATATCTTCAACGATTTTAACACATATCTTGCATTACCTACGATTTATTTAAAACCCAAATGATTGTTTTTATTCTAACGTTTATCAAAGACGAATATTGAAATGAATTTTACCATATAAGAATTCAAGAATATTTCAATTTTGTCAACATCGCGGATGTATTAAAGGCTTGGAAGTCATTGCAACGTTAACAGATGAAAAATAGTTTGTTTTGTAATAAAAAAAAAAAGACGAGAAAATGTCTATCCAAACGCCGGTTCTTATACATCCCGTCATTGTGTTATTGTGCTATGGTAAATTTGTGTGTTCTTGTCTTTCGGATTTGCTCATGTGCTTTATCTATATGCTTATTTATTTTTCATTGTTGAAATATTTGTTTGTTCTTTTGGTGATTAAGATTATAACACAATGTTGACTGCTTTACCCCTATTTTTGAAATTTTTACGTATTGTGTCTGTTTGATTTGTTCACACATTGTTGTAATATAATTGAATTATATCCGACGGTCATACAAGTGAGAGGTTTAATCACCATATTCTGCATAAGAAAATGCCTGTTCCACGTCAGGAATATTACAGTTGTTATCTATTCGTTTGATGTGTTGCAGCTTTTGATTTTGCCATTTGATTAGAGACTTAATTTGTTTTGAATTTTCCTCGAAATTCTGTTTTTTTTTTTTTTTTTTTTTTTTTTCCTTTTTACCGTTTGACTTTTGATTAAAACGCCAATACCTAACATTAGGCAAGTTATCTGTTCAGTCGATATTATGATCACCAGAAGATGGCAAATGTTGCCTTGCCATACAACAGATAATAGGTAAATATCCTACACGACTCTTTAAAAAATTTTATAATCTGAGTTCTCCTGGTATAAACCACCCATTTATGTAGACATAAAAAACCAATACTCGTACCAAATATCCAAGTATTTATAAACACTCTCATCAAATATATGAATAGACACGCCATAAAAGGCTATAATAAATACCAAAGACTTTATAAAAATGCATACAACGCCGATGCTCCATCTTTAATATGAAATAAACATTATTCAAACATATATCTACACATATAATATATAGTTCAAACATCAGTATTAAACAAAAAACTCCTCAAATATAAATTTGAATAAACTTTAATCAGAAGTAAAATTTACAAAGAAAATTTCGACTGTTCAGATTGACGGTGTCGTGTTGAATGATAACATAGGAAATAAAATACTGCGGAAAAAAATGTTGAAGCGGGAAAACCTAACGCCCTCTATGCTACATATGATGAAAACGCCCAGGAGAAATTAATTTCACTCTAATGCAATGCCCATTTAAAGGACTGAAACTACAATGATTGTTCCTCTATGGTAAAGTTTTTAAAAAGGCGAATAAATACAGACCAATGTTTTGTTTGTAAAATGAAAAGTTTAACAAATGTATTCCACACCTCAATCAGAATTTGCATATTTCATAAAAAAGGGTGACCGCTTATTTCTGGATATTTCACATACACGATGGTTGACGACATCCTATTTTGCCTAGCATTTTGGTTTTTCATCGGTTATTTAAATTAAAAAAAAAACAATAATTCTTTTCTCAGAAATTTGTATAAAGAATATTTCTCCGGTTTTTGACTGGAGTTTGTGTTTACTAAATGTTTAGTTTATGTTCTTTTCGTAGATTTTTTACTGTTGCATCCTTCTATGGTGTCATTATAAAAAAAAAGGGAAGACACAATAGTTACCTGAATATGCCTTTGAATTTTTTTAATCCAAAAGGTTTACTTATGCATATACATGGGGTCAAATAAACTTACTCGGTCCTATAGGATGACACATTTTGAAGAACCTTAAGCTGCTTTTTGATGATTGTTTAAATACAAAGTGATGTCGTAGTTGAAATATTGTTTCATATGTTCTTAATAGACATGAAATATCTGTATTCAACATTAAACAAAACAAGGATTTTATTGATGAGAATCCAAGACCTCCGATTTCGATTAATGATTTAGGTGTATATGAGTTATAATCTTTGACGGAATTTAAGTTAATTTTCGTCAGTAAGATATTCTTTAGTTTTTATTTAACATATATAAATAAATCTACAATATGTTATGTGTAGTTGTTTATTATTTTAGACTGGATCCGAATTTGATCGCGGCAATAAAAAATTTTATGCAGTATCAATTCCAATGGGCTTATTATCTATAGCTGTATTAGTAGTCACGATCAATGCAGCATCCTACTGTTGCTGTTGTTCACCTTTCGACATACAAAATCACCAGGTAAGTTCAATTAACGGCCCCTATTGTTGCCTCTAGCGATATATTATTAGTTTTATAGTGTGCTAGTGACATAATACGATATATATGGGATACGTTAACCCCATACTTAATTTACTGACCCTATATATATCGTATTAGGTCACTAGCACACTGTGTAACGAATTTATCTTACAGACTATCTTAACATGAGGTATTTAGACTAGTGACAAATTAATGTGATCAAGTCGTTTATATAAAGAACCTACTTCCATTTGTATATACAAAAACCAATATAAACATTAACAACTTGTTAGATTTGGATGTGTTTTCTGTATTGATTCCAATCGTTCAACATTCATTTCTTCATCTGTTGTCCGAGAGAAATGTTTCAGATTTTTTTTTCTTTAACGCCATGTTTTTTTTTATGCCCAACCTACGATAGAAGAGGGGCATTATGTTTTCTGGTCTATGCGTCCGTTCGTACGTCCGTTCGTCCGTTCGTTCATCCGTTCGTCCGTCCGTCCGACTGTCCTGCTTCAGGTTAAAGTTTTTGGTCAAGGTAGTTTTTTCACGAAGATGAAGTCTAATCAACTTGAAATGTAGTACACATGTTTCCTATGATATAATCTTTCTAATTTTAATGCGAAATTAGATTTTTGACCCCAATTTCACGGTCCACTGAACATAGAGAATGATAGTGCGAGTAGGGCATCCGTGTACTATAGACACATTCTTGCTTTATAAAGGGACGTAACACCGCTACTAACCATATCAATTCTAAAAAATGCAATCTGTTATAACTTAGTTGAAGTCAGTTTAAAGATTTTGTTAGCTTTTGAGGTGAATGGCGACATGTTTTTGCTTTGTTTAGAATGATATAATATATTTATCCGAGACGATGCTTTAATTGCGATATGCAAAATAAAATGATCACAAATTACACCAAAAATCACGTGCTTTGTCAAAAAAGGTCAGATACAATTTTCTATTCCATTACTAAAGAAAGTGTAACAGACAATTATGTCAAGCTTACACCACACGGTTAGCAGTTTTAATCCTGTATGGTAAATCCTACATATTGTAACAATTGTTAATATAATGTCATATTTTTGTAAAATCTATTGTATTTACTAAAGCATATTGTTGATTTATGTAAGAAGATAAAGTTATCCTGCAGGTTTCTTCCGTGAATGAAACTATAAATGTTCTTCACCTAATGACCAGAAAAAGAAAACTATTCACTTGATTCATGAGGCATGAGACGGATAAAAAACGTGTTTACAAATTTGCAGATCATCTAAATATATTTGTAGACTTGCTATCCAATTCGTTTGGTTAAGACAATTTCATTGAACCTGTGATTGCTTAAAAATAATTTTTCAAACCTTTTCGTTTTTATACGACCGCAAAAAATTTTGCGGTCGTATATTGGTATTACGTCGTCGTCGTCGTCGTCGTCGTCCGCGTCGTCCAAAGACATTTGGTTTTTCGCACAATAACTTTAGTATAAGTAAATAGAAATCTATGAAATTTAAACACAAGGTTTATGACCACAAAAGGAAGGTTGCGATTGATTTTTGGGGTTATGGTCCAAACAGTTTAGGAACTGGGGGCCAAAAAGGGGCCCAAATAAGCATTTTTCTAGTTTGCAGACAAAAACTTGTGGAATGGTGTATGGATCTCTCTGAAATTATACCACAAGTTTCAATACCACAGAGGGATGGTAAAAATTGGCTTTGGGGGGTTATGGCTCAAATCGTTTAGGAATTAGGGGCAAAAAGGGGGGAAAACGAGAATGTCCTGGTTAATGGACATCTAAATAAGTAAAAAACAGTGTAAAGGAAGTTATTCAAACACAATATTTTGAATTACCTCCCTTGGACTGCTTTTAAATTATGTATAAAGAAATGTTGTAATGTCTTGAGGTGATTAGCTGTCAATTCATTTTAAGAAGATAATATTTTAAAAATGCTGATGAAGGTAATTTTATTTTACTATGGTTGCAAACTCCATTGGAAATTTGAATTGAGATTATGACCATATCTTGAGGGAAAGATCTTTTTTTTTTTAAAAAGGGGGGGGGAGGTTAAAAAAAATTGGGGGGTAAGGGGACAATTTGTTCTCAAGATCTCAGGAATAAAAAAGAAAATTTCTTCAAATAATATTTTTTTTGGCAAAAAAAAGGGAGGAGGGGGTACAACTTTTGTTTTTTTGTTGGGGGGGGAGGGGGGTCAATTCGCAACAGCATAGTGTATTGCACAAAAGCAAAAAATGAATATAAATTCAAATCACATAACCAATTCAAGTTCTTTGACTACAGTTATTCTTTGTCAGAAACCTATTATGTGTCAAATATTTAATTACAATCCAAATTCAGACCTATCAAGTGCGAATATTGTGTCCATTTTTGCTCCAACTGTTCAGAGTTGGACCTCTGCGATCGTATCCAGCTGATAATTTATCATGATATATGTTTGTGTTTATTTAATAGCTCAGTATACACATTTTTGAATACGGCGCATTTTCTAAATTCTAATTTCACGAATATGGCTTTCTATATTTTCAGCAAACTGTTGTATTTGTGAATGCATCACAGCCTGCAAACATTGCATCTACAATAGATAACCCTTCCGCTGGTGCAAACGAACAACCATTGATGACCACCGTACATGGAATATGAATAATATCATTTTTTTCAATTTATAGCATAAACATCGAATACACAACAACAAAAATTCTGAAAGTTACCAGGTTAGTATTACACGTACCATGGCCACTCAAAATCCTTATCGACATAGAACAAGACAGTGAATACAACAAAAATAAAACATCCGTAATAATCCTTCGCACAAATATCTAAAACGGTCAACAGGATCATGATTAAATTCTTAAACATTTTAAATCTTTGGGGGTTTAATATTGACTAATTAGCAATAATGTCTCTTTCAAGCCTAGTTGTGAGCTGTGATGATACATTATATGCCTCCTAGGGAACAATTTCTATAATATCGTATCAACTTGGATGTATGTTACATTTCCTGCCGTACGTAAGTTCAAATAATCCCCTGTACTGCAAAGTTAAATTCTCAGCCTACCCTCACTATTTACGTCTCATCAGAAAAGAGAGAAAATGATAGATCTCTGATATTGTTTATTTCAGTTACAATCATATACTTGTAGTTCAATCAAATTGGTAAACTTTGTGGGATGACTATGCTATGATCATTACAAAAATCTATCAGCATATTTTATTACAACAATGCTTATGAATGATTATTTAGAAAAAAATATTAAATTATTAAAAAATGAAGGGGCAAAAAACATGGATTATCTGGTTTCCGGACAATAGGTTGAGTATAAATGTATGGATATCAAAGCAAATGTATGATAAGTCTCGGAAGGTTAAGAATGATTATTTTGGTTCTAGCCCTAACCATTAAGGAATTACGGGCCAAAGATGGGTCCTAAAACTATGCTTTTCTAACACTTTTATAAATGCTTATTTTTTTACCAATTTCAATGAGGTTTAATTCAAAGTCTTGAATTCTTAGGGTTCTTTAATATGCTGAATCTAACCATGTATTGAGCTTGTAGATTTTGAGCCTTGTTTTGAATTGAAGTCCAAAGAATCCAAAATGAAACTTTGTTTGATTTCATATCAATAAAATTGAGAATGGAGATGGTGAATATGTCAAAGAGACAACAACCCGACCAAAGAGCAGACAACAGCCGAAGGCCACCAATGGGTCTTCAATGCAGCGAGAAAATACATTGAAGTATCAGTGGTCTTTGGTATGCCGATTTTAACCGTTTATTCAAACTTTAATTTCAGGCCGGGTTTCCATATTGGTCCACATTAAGGTACAAATGGTCCAATCTTAAACAAAGTTTTATTTTAAAAAATATGAATTCGTGGGGTTTTTTGGTAAGCTGAATACAGTGAAGTATGAAGATATTTGGTTTTGGGCCAAGTTTCAAGTTGGTCCATGATCGGGGTCAAAAATGGTATTTTGTTTCATTTCAACGACAAAATGAATATATAGAATTTGATAAGTTGAATATAAACGTGTATTTAGAATTAGGATTTTAGGGCCCCATTTTCAAATTTGTCCACATTGAAGTCCAAAAGGTCCAAAATTTGACTTTGTTTGAATTCATCAAACATTAAACTATCGGGTTTTTTTTTCATTTCATATGCTGAATCTCACCATGAATTTAGATTTAAGATATTGTACAACAAAGGTAACTGTCAAATTTCAATTTTTTAAAGTTCTTAGACCACATTCATCTGTGTCAGAAACCTATGATGTGTCAAACATTTAATCACAATCGAAATGTAGAGCTGTCTTAAGCTTGAATGATGTGTCCATACTTGTCCCAACTGTTCAAGATTCGATCTATGCGATCGTATTAAGCAGCGCCCTGTGGAGCGTTTTACCTGTGAAGCATTTTACTGGTTTGCTGTCTTCTTTGACATAATATGTTTTTCCTTCTCCTCAAGTTTGACATACTCGTGTTGTTATTAGGTAATTTTTAAGTATTTCTGAACTTTTATTTATATAATTGTACATGTTTTCACCTGCTAGAACAACAACTGAAATATATTCATTTAGTTTTTTTAGTATGAAATTGTTACTCTAACGTTTTAAAAAGTAAAAGAATTTGTTTACATTTAACTCTGAAGTTTTTGAACTTAATACGGGGGAAAGAATACATATCTATAAATTAAGGCAACAGTAGATTAAAGATGAGTATAAGGGAAATATTCTAAATAGACTAAAACAACAAATCTAGGAAAATGGTTTTAATCATGTAAATGTATATCAGGCATAAAGAAATTTTCTCGTTTCAATTCCATTATATATGTCATGCCGTGATATTTTATAGCCTCATATGCGGATGGTTTTTTTTTTCATTGTTAAAAGCAGCACGGACACTTATTGTTACTAACTTCTACGTCATTTGATCTGTTATGATAAATAGTGCCATTTGCAATCATACCAGATATTCTCATGTTTATATTAAAAACTGAGAGATCCGTATGAAAGAGGGACGAAAGATACCAGAGGGACAGTCAAACTCATAGATCGAAAACAAACTGACAACGTCATGGCCAAAAATAAAAAGACAAACAGACAAATAATAGTACAGATGACACAACATAGAAAACTAAAGACTAAGCAACACGAACCCCACCAAAAACTGGGGGTGATCTCAGGTGCTCCGGAAGGGTGAGCAGATCCTGCACCACATGTGGCACCCGTCGAGTTGCTTATGTTATTACAAATCCGGTAAATAGTCTAATTCGGTAAGTCACATTCGTGAAAAGGGAAGGGTATTGTAGTTACGACATAAGGAACATATCCGATATCATCTGTGAAACGGTAATTCCATAACGGTCAACCAACTCGTGATGGCGTCCGTAAAATTTACGAAGGGATGACTGCAACTTCACCATTTGGAACTCTTGGTTTAATAGCTTCCTTGTGAGCAGCAATCCTCTATCAAGGAAATCATGATAGGAAACACAAGCCCGGGAATATCGTATCAATTGGGAGATATATACTCCGTATGCAGGCGCTGCTGGAATGTTGCTACATAGAAATGGAAAGTTCACAATTGGGAAGCTAAAATCATCTCTTTTGTCGTAAAGTTTTGTTTTCAACCGACCCTCATTGTCAATTTCTAGATGTAAGTCAAGATATGAGGCAGACTTAACTGTATCTGTAGTATCCTTTATCTCTAGTTCGATGGGATAGATTCGTTCAACATAGTCACCAAATTTTGTATTATTTAGTGAGAGAACATCATCTATATAGCGGAACGTAGAGTTAAAGGATATTGCTAACTTCTTATCTCTCTTCCTAAGAAGCTCCTGTATGAAGTCAGCCTCAAAATAATAAAGAAACAAGTCGGCAAGAAGAAGGGCACAATTGGTTCCCATTGGAATTCCGACAGTCTGTTGAAAAACACGTCCTCCAAACGTAACAAATATGTTGTCAATCAAGAAATCAAGCATCTTGATAATGTCAGTTTCAGAGAATTTTTTGTTTGAATCAGAGTGATTCTTTACAAAGTAGGATTTATCCCTCCCCAAGACAAGATACTTGTATCTACGTTCGTCATTCTTTTTAATGAAACAAAGTAATACCAACTCTTTCAATTTGTCTTTTAGTTTGGAATGGGGAATACTTGTGTAAAGTGTAGAAAAGTCAAATGTTTTAATACTATTGCAAGATAAGAGAGTCTTAGATTGTATGTACTCTAAAAGATCTTTGGAATTTTTTAGTATCCACATCTGATTCACGCCACCTCTAGAATAGGCAGTTTCACAATAACTTTGGAGCCCGGCTTTGATTGCTGATAAAATAGATGTTAATAATTTAGAAAGAGGTTTCGTGGAGCACTTGGAAGACTGAAACTGTCGTATGCCAATTCAGGTAAATTTGTAAAGCGTCAACAACAACTTCTACTTTATCCAATTTGTCCCACATTGGCATAGTGCTGAATTCTCACTTAGATAAATTATCAAAATCATTTTTATGAAGTTAGGGCTCTTGTTTGATATAAGGTTTCAATTAGAAAAGCAATCCAACACAAAGAGGGTTAAATAATGGCGTCGTCGTAATTTATCATAATGGATGTTAGTCTGTCTTAATAACACCTACTTGTAACCTCTTGTGAAGTCAAGGAAATAACTGTTATACATTGTCGGCATAAAATAATGACCTGTGTGAGGTCATTATTTTCCTTGATAAGAATGCAAACTATAACTTACTTCAAAATTATATTCGTCTGATAGTTTCTGTTGCAGATTTTGGAATTTATTTTTTAAAGTTCAATCTATGATAGGTGTAAAAAAAATCGTCATTGCCCGATTTTAATTTTAGAAACAAATAATGTGAAATTTTGTTAATCTATCGCTACAATACAGAGACATTGTCATATATGCGAGATGAATTTTAATGTAAAACTTTCATAACACTTTAAAATAAAGCCAGATTTAACATATTCGTGTGTAAAATTTTGAAAATCTAATTGATTCACACTGAATAGGTTGATTGATTGATGGTTACTTAACGTCCAGTGGCAAATATTTTATGCATGTTCAGGACGATACACACTGAATAGGAAATCATACTGTGACCTACATGTACTGATATTCGTTTTCGTGTAACATGTACATGTATCACGATTTCGTGCCCCCTTCGTGTCAGTTCTTAACTTTTTTACATTTATGTATAACTTTTACTCTATCAAAGGATTAACTAATAAAATATTCACGTACTTCACAATGAGGTCGGGTGGGGGAGGGTATATAATTATATCCTGATTATCTGTTAAAAAAATGTATTGCTATTCAAAAGAAAATCATTCTGAATAATTCATTCGATTCAATTAAAATTGTTGAAAAAATAATCACTTTTCCGCGATAAAATGTCATTACAAATAGACAAAAAAAAAAAAAAAAAAAACATAGCACCTCCCCCTTTCCATAAACTAAGTTGGTACAATAAATTACTTACAAAGTGTCTTGTATTTTTCATACACCGTCATCAGATGGTAACAATTCATTCGTGTCTTACTTCATGAAGTTACAGTAATATTTTATTGTGTATGGATAATAATTTCTAAGGTTTAAATCTAGATTAATTAGTGAGTTTTATTTCACATTCTAAATGAGCCGTAGGGCGTATTAAAACCTGAACGCATTAGAAAGGAATATCCCACTTTAGTGTGGTCGGTAAAATAGGATGCTAAATTTTGCAAATCTTTATAAAAACAATATTTTATGACGGTATATAAGTCCGATAATGCATATTTTAAGACTTTTCTTGTCGTAGAACACACCGAGGGGTGTCTTTCATTTGATCAATCCTGACACCCCTCGGTGTGTTCTACGACAAGAAAAACTTTAAAATATGCATTATCTATAACTTATAAACATTATATTATACTATGATTATTTCGGCCTTTTTATTGGTTTGAGGCTTGATTTGTTTCTACCTGAGGCGATGCCGAAGTAAAAAAAAAATCTACTCGAACACCAAAACTTAACATTTGAAGCCAAAGAAGTAAGCATAGTTGAATACAACAGGAAATATATTAAAGAGGGATCTAAAGAAAATTATCGAATCAACCTACGGTAAACTTTTGACTTCTTGTCAGCACAGAGGCATCCCCATATGTCATATACTAAGCTTAAATAATGAAGTTCTTAAAACTATTTCTGAAACATTGTTCTCATAAAGAATTTCCAAACCAAATGTTACTTAGAAGAACTGTTTGTAATCAGGCTCTTCGTATGGAGGTTGAGAGAGGACCTACCATAAAAGAGGGGCGAAAGATACCAGAGGGACAGTCAAACTCATAGATCGAAAATAAACTGACAATGCCATGGTTAAAAAAGAAAAAGACAAACAGACAAATAATAGTACACAAGACACAACATAGAAAACTAATGACTAAACTACACGACCCCACCAAAAACTGGGGGTGATCTCAGGTTCTCCGGAAGAGTAAGCAGATCCTGCTCCACATGTGACACCCGTCGTGTTGCTCATGTTATTACAAACCCGGTAAATAGTCTAATTCGATAGGTCACAATCGTGAATAGTGAACGGGATTGTAGTTACGACATAAGGAACATATCCGATATCATCTGTGATGAAGGGATGATTTCAACTTCAACATTTGGAACTCAGCGTTTAATAGCTTCCTTGTGAGCAGCAACCCTCTATCAAGGAAATCATGATAGGAAGTACAGGCCCGGGAATATCGTATCGATTGGGAGATATATACTCCGTATGTTGCTAAGAACTGGATATTTGAGAATAAAGCTCATTGCATATAAGATTTTTTGTTACAAATCTTTGAAGGCTACTCTTCAAAAATTTGTTCTAAGTCCTGATTTTGAAGAAGTTTGTGCAAGATGGAGGTTCAGAGAGCAGAGAGATAACATTTTACAAGATGTATATGATGGCAGAATATGGGATGACTTTAATTGGAATAAGTTTTATATTTTTCTGTAAAGAAGGAAATTATGGATTAATGTTGAATGTTGACTGGTTCCAACCCTATAAATATTCTATTGGTGCAATATACTTGATTTTCTTAAATTTACCTAGGGAAAAAAGGTTCAAAAGGGAAAATATGATTTTAATAGGTGTGATTCGTGATATGAAATCTGAACCCCCAACAAATACTTTTTTGCTACCTTTAGTTTAAGAACTGAAAACAGCTTGGGCTGCAGAGTTTTTGTTGTTTTCCTTTAAATCACTAGAAAACTTGAAATGCTTTAAGCTTGCACTTCTCTGTGTTGGATGTGATATGCCAGCTAGTAGAAAACTTTGTGGATTTCTCGACCATTCAGCAACCATGGGATGCAATAAATGTAAAAAAGAATTTCCAGGAATGGTTGGAAAAAAATACTGGATTTGAAAGATCATTATGGCCAGAAAGAAAAAATCAAACTCACAGGGAACAATGCAAACTCATTCTAGAAAGTACTAGTAAGGGAGACAAATTGCAGTTAGAAAAAACAATTTGGTACAAGATATTCTTGCCTTCTAGAACTGCCATATTTTGATCCTGTGTGTATGACTCCCATAGATCCTATGCACAACTTAGTTCATGGTACCAAAAGCATATGTTTAAGATTTGGAAAACAAAAGGACTCTTGGATGATGAAAAGTGTAAGATAATTGAGAATAAGATCTTGTTTTTTAGTTGCCCATCAGATGTTGGGAAGCCGCCTAAAAAGATATCTACTTTAATGGGATCTTTCAATGCTAATCAGCTTAAGAACTGGACAATTTTGTTTTCAGTTTATGCTTTGAAAGGGATTTTACCTGATGAACACTTAGAATGCTGGGTGAAATTTGTACTAGCATGTAGGAGATTGTGCTCCAGATATTTATCTGTTGGAAACACCAAGGTTGCAGATCGCCTATTGCTGGATTTTTGTAAAATGTTCAATAACCTTTATGGTGACCAATTTGTTACACCAAATATGTATCCTCCTGGTCATCTTCTTGATTGTATTTTAGGTTATGGACCAGTATATTCATTTTGGTTGTTCAGTTTCGAAAGGCAAAATGGAATTTTAGGATCATATAAAACCAATAGAAAAATGTAGAAGTTCAGATTATGAAGAGATTTCTTGCTGAACCCGGAGCAAGGGATAGATACGAGATCATGAGTCCAAATTTGGCACAGCTGTTTGAAGTACTGTCTGGCACAGTTAGGGAAAGGAGAACCTTAGCTGAAGTGAATTGCTTGCAAATTTGTATATACAAAATGGTTCTGCATCGTTTAATCCTGTTCATAGAACTAAATGCAGATTTGTGTTTGTTAAGACAAACTTATTTAACATAGATGTTTTGGTTATTTCACCTAGAGAGCGTTATATTTTAAAACATTATATTACATTTATTTACTTATTTAGAAAATTTATGAATATTCTTTATTGTATGACTGGTCAAACAAGATGATTATGAAACAGTATTAGGCTTGGTAAAGATAGTGTTTTCAATAAATGTTATTTGCATTAATCATATCTGTAAAAATTTTAAGGATTTTAATATAGTAGTACACAATTTATTTGCAAGACATTTGTTTTTATATAAAAAAAAGTTTTTCATTGTATCATGTAGAAAATTGTAAGCATTACTGAATATTTGTTTTTGTAAATTTATATTTTTCAACTGAACCGTAAAAGGGAAGATAACTCCTATATCAATTTTTTTTTATTAAGAAATGTTTATGAAATTTTTATTTTTTTTCTATGCTTGTAGAAGCATGAAATTAACAAGAAAGGTGGCACCATTGTTTTTTTCATTTTAGTTTCTTAAAGAACATTTTAAATGCTTTCTTCTCATATTCAAATTCAAACTACATCTGGTAGCTAGTGAAATTTACATTTGGCAAAGTATTAGAAAAATTCTATCGGAGGACAGATTAAGTGGTGATCCATCTTAAATTAATATCAAACGTTTGTGCAAAATCATTGGCCATCAAAAGTTTGTGCAAAATTATTGGTCAATGCATGTCATCTTTAAATAAGAATGTAAATAGGCATTTTTTGTTGAATATTGTTCTTACATTACAGTTTGTAAAGCAACGTTTAGACTTAAGTGAATAATTTTATTAGTATATAAAAAGAAGAGTTGTATTATATTACATCTGCATGTTCACATGATAAGAAACAGTTGTCATTTAAAACTTTAATAAAAATGTGAAAATGTAATAATCAAATATAACAATGTACACCTTATCAAAATTAGTGTAAATGAAATTAAATGAATACTTCTGACAGTGTAACTCTAATTGTTCTTATTTTTAACACATTTATCTTGAAATCTTCCATGTATTATTGTAAACATCTTATGAATTGAGAAGATGTGGTATGAATGCCAATGAGACCTCTTTTCAATAGAGACGAAATGATAAAAATATTAACAAATGTATGGTAAATCATGTAAGGCCTTCAACAATGAGAAAAACTCATAACCAATTGCAAGCTATAGAAGGCCCTGACGTGACAGATTTAAATAATTCAATGGAGAAACCAATTTAATTATTTTATTAAAACAACTGTATGAATGATTAATTAAACTGGGTCCTTTTTTAGTTCTGTTTTAGATTATATGAAGACCTTTTCAATTATGAATAGTGACAGTAAATTCAGAAATCAATCATAGTTTATTTAATTCTATATATATATATATAAATACCACAGTTCATTTAAATATATGGAAATATATGTATTATATCTACCAGAGATCAATGAACAAGATACTGGATTTTAAACAACCAACAATAAATCAACCTTTCAATGAACAAGAATATAAAAATGTGGAGATGTGGTATATTTGCCAATGAGAGAACAATCAAACAAAGTTCAAATGAAATGGATGTAAGCAATTAAGGCAAAAGTACAGCCTCCATCAATTAGAAAAACCCATACCAGATAGTCGGCTTTAACAGGCCCCGATATGATAAAAATGAATCAATTCAATTGAGAAAACTAACAGTCCAATATATAGCATAACAATTACGAAAAACAGGCTCCTGACTTGGGACAGGCACATATAAAAAACATGTGGCGGGTTAAACATGTTTGTGAGCAATCAACCCTCTCCCTAACCTGGAACAGTGATGTTACAGCAAAACATTAGATCAAACTTAACTCATTTATAGGTTAATCCTATGATTTTGTCCTTTCCAATATTATTTTCTTATTTAATATTTGTAGTAGGTTATAAGATTAGCATCACATGTTTTGGTCGAGTGTATCAATGAAAGGTAATTAAATGTTGCAGGAATTAAATTGTTGTCTGCTGTTACAAAAGAAATATTTAAATAATCTCTGAAAATCCAGTTAAAACATTTAAATAAAGATATGGAAAGGTGTAAAAGGTGAAAGACAACATAAACAACTTTACAAAATGTGTGAAAAGATTAAGTGTTTGTGTTAGGCTGAGCGGGGACTTTATCTTGCCTTAATTCTAGCCATTTGGTTTTAGGTAGATGATTCCCACATCTGGTGATATTCAGACACCATATATTTACATAAACTGGTACAAATAAATCAGGTAGTTGTGCGTTGATAAAATTTTCGATTACCATTTTTCTATCAATATAATTGAATAAAAGTGAATGTAAATAGTATATTAGTAGCTGATTAGATCATTTAAAAGTTGTTGCAAAATGTTTGACCAAGCAATTAACATTAGAACGCTCACACTACTTGGTACCAGTTTTACTCCGAATTAATCTAAATAATGTTTAATGAATGATCGTACATTTACTTTTGTCAAGACGATATTTGAAACAAAACATATTTGGAACAAACATATGATGATAAATCATAAACAGCAAAAGAACAAGCAAGGCAACAACATTCGAATATAACCTAGAATTTAGAATAAATAGATATCATATCAGATAGATATATATATATCTGATACTGTGTGGTTCCTTACAACTAATATTTCGAGATTGTTATTTTTTGGCAAAAAACTGTACAGTTTTCTTACAAACACCTTAATTATTTTATTTCTTTTATAAGTATGAGTAATTACATTAGGTTAGCTTTTACTTTTTTGCTGTAAATTTTCATTTATAAACTTTTTACAAAAGGTGTTACTCAAATAATATTGAAAGCAGAACATGATAGATTTTTTTTTTTTAGTTTGAAAACTCTTAAGCTATTTTATATTTAAGAATGAAATCACCCTCAGTTTTTGGTGGAGTTTGTGTTGGTCACTCTTTAGTTTTCTACGTTATGCACTGTAGACTTGTTTGTCTTTTATTCGTTTTTTGTTGTGTTTTCTTTTGCCTTTAGATAGCAAGTGTATCTTCAACTTACGAGTTTCAAACGTGATTTTAATTGTCCTCGGTAGTGAGTTATGACTTATCGACTATTCACACTATACAAGCAATTTTATCTTTTTATTTAATTAACAGAATTATGTTTCATAATTTAAAACAACTGTTTGAATTTATTGGCTCAAAGCATTTTTCTGTGACGATACACTGATAGAACTATATTGAGATGATAAAAGCGATATGTTTCTGCATTATCTATGTTCGTTTCGAAAATATGTTTATTCACATGTTGTTTGAATTCCTATAGGAGCCACTGACTCTCTTTAGTAGTACTTTTTCTGCATTATGACCAGTCATAGTTTATGGCATAACTTATTGAAGATCCGTCTTAATACCATTTTATTGTAAATTTTATAACACTAATCATTATCGTATCGATGCATTTGTACTATAGTTCTCTTGTTTTACTGCGGAAATGACTTCTTATTATTCTTATGTAAACAGCAATGGTTATTCTATCCTAGATTTGGGTGTTTCACTCTTACAAGGGAGACTATATTCAAAGATTTATGACCACAGTTTTTTTTCTTTTTTCTAACTTTCCTTCTTTGAGCGAAAATGTTGTTTTGTCTCTTTTTCATTATGTATGTTTCTCGCATAATGCTATGTCCGTGTCTGGAGTTTGTGTTTCATTTACATGTAGTTTGCGTAATCTTCTCATTTACTGTTAATTTGTTGAGTCAGCGATTTCGGTGAAACAAATTATTTTAATCTCTTACAGGATTTTTTTAACGATACTGATACTTATATAGCAACTATGTTGGAGCAGGTTTTTTATCAGGAGAACACCTCTGTTATTAAAATCCGTATAGTGTAAACATGCACGAACGTAACGTATAAAATATGTTAACTTCGTTCGATGGACATATGTTATGTTACAGGTGAGAAACTGTAAGTTGACAAGGGAAGTTGGCAATTGGAAGGTTGAAATCTTCACGTTTGTCATAGAAGCATGCTTAACGTCGACCATCTGTATCAATATAGAAAAAAAGTATCATGATATGTAGCAGATCTTCTTGTTTCGGTAGAATCTTTAAACTAAAGTTCACTGGGATATAAGAGATGCAAGCATGAACTGAAATATGGCTTATTGGGCAAGAGGACATTTTCAACTTGTATATTTTTGAAAGTGAAGTGAAAGAAACTTTGTTTTTGAGAAGGATTTGTATGAACTCTGCTTTATATGAGTACATTAACAAGTCTGTCAGTAGGGGTGTATAGTATGTACCGACTGTCTGTTGTAAAATCAATCAACCAAACTCAACATATATGTTGTCAATCAAAAAGTCCTGCATTTTGAGGATATCATCCTCCGTGTATTTGTTTTTGAAATCAATGCGGCTCTTCACATGCTTCACGAAGTTTGATTTTTCTAAATTATATAGTGAAGGAAAATCTCATATTCTACGACAGCCCAAGGTAACCTCTAAAGAGACCGCATCTATTCTTTATATTACATTTAACGAAACGGACAACACTTTAAAACAACTGGAAATTTCCTGTAACATATTCTTGATAACGGGCATACAGGTATGTGAAATTACCTTAATTTACTTGTTATGGTATGTTCTTTTGTATAAAATTAAAATAAATCGGGACTCAGAGTGTTGTTCTTAATTTTATTAACATTGTAGATTCTGGTTCCCGTACTTTATTCTTTTATACTTTTTTCTTGAAAGGGCATCTCACTTCAGGTAATGCTATCCAATTAATTTTAATAAATCATTAATGTATCTGCTATACTAAGGTATACTATTATTTGTCTTGTCGTCGTTTTACGTTTTTTACCATGGCATTGTCAGTGTATTTTCGACTTATGAATATCCATTTGGTATCTTTCGCCCTTCTTTTATAGATATGCAATGGAAATAATTTCGATATATTGATGACGATAAGAAACATGTAGACATTGGTGTTGCTTTATTGTATAGTCATCAGGTCTTTATATTCTTTATAGTGTACTACTTTTTTCAAATTGAAGCAGTAAACGTAGCATTGTTGAATGCATGACACATGTGTTTTGTCATTGTAGCATAAAAAAGCGAGCCGGATAAATATTTAGTGCTGCACAGTACGAATAACTTTTCTAGAGATAAACACTACAGATTATTACCCATCATGTGAAAAATCATTTTTATCAATTGCATTCAGTATTTTTTTTTTTAACGTAAATTGGTATCATTACATTCATGTTATTCTAGTAATAAGCTGCATATTTATTTAACATTTCTGTTATTTAAAATCTAGCAAATATTTTCCTTCATTAGTATCTTCATCTAACGTTTAAAGTTCTAACGTTAACCATTGATTCAAGTAATAAGCTGCATACTAACGTTTCTATTATTTAAATCCTAGCAAATATTTTTCTTCATATGTATCATCATCTAACTTATTAAAGTTCTAACCATTGATTCAGGTGATAAGCTGCATATGAACGTTACCATTATTTAAATCCTAGCAAATATTTTTCTATAACAGTATCTTCATGTGGTTCAATGCCTCTTTCTTCGATTAATTCCTCTTCAGGGAAATATGATGCAACTTCTTCTTTCCATGAAATAAGTCGAAAGTATTTAGCAATTGCAACACCTGGTATCCATAAGACTGATGATAAAATCATTAATGCTGCTACGACCTGACACCATCCAGGCCATGGGGACATAACTGCAAAACCCTGATGAACAGATACAAAATACTTAATTACGTTGCAATAATAGTATATATATCTGGAATTAATGCTTCTTGACTCTGTACTTTACGGTTTCCTTTGTCGTGATGGGTCCTCCCCCCAAAAAACAATAAAAAAAAAAACAACAAAAAACCGCTTTGCTACCCAAAAGCTATAGGTTTTTAGTCTCACTTGAATAACTGAATTTGATGAGTTAATGTATTACGTTAAAAATGTGATTAAATAACTTAACCGTTTTACCGGGCTGAAGGTTTAACTTTTCACTATTAAAAATTCATGAAGAGTGAACTGTGTTTTTGTGTGTGTGGGGGGGGGGGGAGGCACTTACTATGTAATGAGTGGTATGGATGAGCCGCTGTAATAGGTCACTATTTCATGCTCCATCATATATGAAAAGGGTGAGAAATTCAGATTGAATATATCATAGGTTGATATTTTCACTTGCTTGATTATATCATAAGTATCTGAAACTAATCAGATGTCCGTACTTATTTGTGATGTGGTTAAACCACAGTCGTAAATGCATCAGCTATTTGTCAAACCAATTAAACTCTATTTATTCCAATGTGGTATTTCCACTGATGCTAGTTATATATGCTATAAATCTCAACTTTTTGACATTTGCACCTAATTAACATTCAAAGGTTTGCATACATGAAACATGATAACAGATCCGGTTTAAGGGGCAATGGAGCGTCCGAATACCAAAAACGTCCGAACCTAAGAAAAAATACACCGCACCGTAACGTGATTGGTGTTGTATTTATTTCTTAGGTTCGGTCGTTTTTGGTATTCGGGCGCTCCATTACCCATTAAACTGGATCTGTGCACTATATTCACTATATAGCTTTTGTTCCTCGTTTTATAAGCTTTCTTAGGATATATAGGATATACCCGTAATTAGGGGATTCAGGGGTTCAAAACTTGATCGTAACGTGATTGGTGTTGTATTTTTTCTGAAGTATGGCCGTTTTTGGTATTCGGGCGCTCGATTCCCCCTTATTTGTTAGTGCTATTATTAGATTTATCTTGAAGAAAACACCCCTAGTATTTTATGCGAAACGTCAATACTTGTGTATATAACTTCTTAGCCTTATTCATATTTTCTATGTATTTTTATGTTTAAATGTGTAAATATGTGAGTATATTTAATTGGAAAATGAGATTAAGAAAAGAATTATTGGCACTTTGAGACATAGTAATTATTTTGCCCTCCCCTGACACAAGGTGTACCGTTTAGGTGGCGGCTTTCGTTTAGTGTGGACATTCCGATAGAGGAATGCTGGCGGAAACGAATGCTCACTTTGATGTTTTATGAATAAAAGTTGGACCCCTCCCCTACACCAAATTAAAATATATGTAACAAATTAAGTGCGATAATTGTACCGTAAGCTTCTAGATATGCATAAAATGTATTATATATCATGATAATGATCAAGTGGAATTTTACGTCAAAAATAAATAATTCTAGATAAAAGGGGCATGGTTAAAAAATATCCCATCTCTTTATACCTTAATACTATATATAATACTAGGCCTCATTGTTTTAGCTGAATGAATTTGAATCAAATTAAAACATTTATTACACAAAACAGACCAACAGTTGTTAATTTCTGTGTCATTTTGTCTCTTGTGAAAAGTTGTCTCATTGGCAATCATACCACATATTATGTTTTATATTTAAAACTAAATATTAAAGTTATTCAATTTAAATACACTTGAATAGTGACTAGTGCAAAAAAAACACAGTTCACTATTCATGAATTTTGAATAGTGAACTGTGAAAAGTCAATAGTGAACGTACTTCAGCCCGGTTTTTATTTTGTATTCTAGTACTTCAGGTAAAAGGCCAGAATATATTTTGTGCCATCTTTTTATATTTGTTGCAATATTTGTTTCTCACTAGTGCTTCATGCAGTTTCGAAATAAAGGCATTACAATTTACACAAACAAATATTGGTTAGTATGATTAATTGAACCTGCGTTAACGGTCGATGCGTTTTAAGTGTCGTATTTGGCAGCGGTATGCACGTGATAGTTGAACAATTTGTTGTCACTTAGTTTGAAAACCATGTTTTATAGTACATGGAACTATGTGATTATAGTTCAGAAATACTTACTTTTGAAGAATCCCAAACTTCATACCAGGTTCCATTTGATAATTTCTCTACTATACTTGCAGTAAAAATCACAACCATTGCTACAGGTCCGACAAAACGCCAACAAAACATGAAAAAGTAACCTGGACGGGTTCCAACCATCATTTCTACATCCAAACTTAATCTAAATAAATTGAAAAGCAATCAACGTATTGACATCGAACATTGTGCTGCTACAATTTAAACTATGAAGATTCATATCAATGATTATGTAGAATTTTTAAGCATATCAAAGAAAACAATTTGCTTTTGTTTACAACCAATATATCTATGATCATTGATTTATTGGTTGATTGCTGGTATTTCAGCACAATTGTCTTTATCATGGCAGTCATATTTTCATTGGTGGAGGAACCCGCAGAGCCCGGAGCCTAGTGAGTTAGAATTGGAATCGAAAGCACCTGCTACGTGTGGGGTTCGAACTCAAAACCTCCGTTTTAACAGGCTAGTGATACAGAAGATGGATTACTTAGACCACTCAGCCGCCGAGGCCCTTAAAGTTATTGAAAAATTGTTATAAATAGAAAAAAGCTGAAATAAAACAATCGAAAAAAGTCCACACAAAATAAAAAAAAAAACACTTTCGCAGGCTTTGAAAAGTTAATGGACAATAAAGAGCCAGAGTTGGTGAAAGACGATGTATGTTTCATTTTAAAGAAAGTCTGTAAGATAAGTTCGCAAAGTTACCTTAGTTATATAAGAAATTAAGAAAGCAAAAAAATAAAGCTTTTTTTACATGTTACAAATTATCAAAAAGTACATCCAAAGCCTTCACCAACGAAAATACTTTTGTACACAATGCAAGCTATCCATTAGTACTCTAGTTTTGAAATCGTTAGATAACATTCATTCCAACAACAAACTTGGAAAACGTCAATATGTCCGTCAAAATTTGTAAAGATATTGTTTTGTACTTTAGATTCAAAATGTTAAACCGAATTTACGTAGAAATCAATGACTGTTTACAGTAGCAAGGATTATATACGGCTCCTTACCTATAGGAGTAGTCATGCTAATATTTCACGTACATGCAAAATAACGTTTGATTCCAGTCCCAACCACAAATAACTTGACTTCTCGACTCACAGTTTTCGTTTCTTTCTATCACATGTATTTGGACCGAAATGTACTTATGAAGTAAAATATTTACAGAACAGTGTTTTTTATTTCCATTGATCAAGTAACCATGTGTGGCATTTTTCATATTCTTCTAACTTTTTGATCAATTTTAATCATGTGTGAATACATATCGTCAGAATACAATTTACAAATTAATCGTCGTAAAAGTTTTGTTTAAGCGGGTGTTTGCCTTGAATGCAGGACTTCGTACGTGGGTTTGATCCGAATCCGGTGAAAATCTTAGATTAACAAATAAGTATTTTCTGCATTTGTGTCAATTAGGCGGCACAGAGAAGTAAGAGCATGGACTTGTCGGCAGATTAGAGATGTTGTGTTTTGAAGTGTGTGACATGTTTTCCCACGGACATTTATCTTATGAACTATTAAATAAAAATCAGACTAATCATAAAAGTTTTCCTGTTTTCCCTAATATCCAATCGTTGTTCCCTGATTTCATTACCTACACGCGGACAATAAAATTATCCTAAGAGTAACATGTGACGTAAACAATGATTTAAATATTTCCGTTTGCTCAAAATAGAAGCAGGATACCCGCAAACGAAATTTAGAATAGAGAATAGAAACGGGGAATGTGTCAAAAGAGACAACATCCCGACCAAAGAGCATAAAGCACAAGACAACCAATGGATCTTCAAAGCAGCGAGAAAACCCCGCAATTAAAGGCGGGCTTCAGCTGGTCCCCTAAACAATTATGTATACTAGTTCAGCGAAATGGACGCAACATGTATACCAGTTATTTGTACAATAGTTTGCTGAATGAGAATAAACAAATATATAATAAATAACTCTACTACTAGTACTTGCCTCTTAAGACCATATATATATGACATCGCAACACATTCAATAAAAGCAATGATTAACAGTGGAATGTTGGCTGAAAATGAGTCAAACATGGCGAACACGTATGACCCAGTTGTTGTTGCAAAACACAGTGATATAACAAACATCGTCCCACATACAATTCCTGGAAAGTAAAATGTGGAAATTTTACTTCCTTTTTTCATACTAAGAATCACAACACATTGACATAAAATTAAGGGAACGTGACGTATCATCTAAACAATTGTCGCTGAAGCAAAATTATGTTCTTCTGATGATCGAATGTCAGTCACCAACGGTACTATCAACCTAGTAATTGTTTCAGTTATAGTATAAATTAAATGATATATTGTAAAAATGTTTAATTTCAGGTGTCATATGTAATTGTACACAAAATAATGCAATGCCACTAAGCAAGTATGACACAATAAGATTTTGCCTGCACTGAAAAGACCCTGTTTTAATAGTAATGCTCATGAATATTTCACTTGTTTCACTTGTTCGGGGTTTTTTTTTTGCTTTTCGTCTCATGTAGGTTGGTGCATATTGCAACAGCTAGGATCAAATATTGTTTGCACCAAGTATGCTAATATCGGTAGAAACCTTTTTAAACACTCATTTTGATGGTTGATTGATTGATTGATTGATTGATTGATTAATGGTTGTTTGCTGAAAGTTAAGTAACAATTTGTTTATGCAAAAAGTAGAAAAATGTGACTGCCACTGAATAATACGGGTATCTTTGATAAGGGTCATAAATTTGTTCTTGCAACAGGCCACATTCGGACACGGGATGGGGGAAGGTGAGGAAAAGTGTCTAAACATATAAATCTGGGTACTTGGGTACAAACATCCGGCTGGGGTTTGAAAACTAACCCCATTCATATATTGATATATGCGAAAATTCCTACCCATTCATATATAGATATAAGAGAATGTGGTATGAGTGCCAATGAGACAACTTTCCATCCAAGTCACAATTTGTAAACGTAAACCATTATAGGTCAAAGTACGGTCTTCGACACGGAGCATTGGATCACACCGAACAGCAAGCTATAAAGGGCCCCAAAAATGACTAGTGTAAAACCATTCAAACAGGAAAACCAACGGTCTAATCTATGAAAAATGAGAAACGAGAAACACTAATAAACCACATCAACAAACGACAACCACTGAACACATGCATCGGATTAGTTCATACATATAGGAAAATCATAACCCAATTACTAGTATGTATATTCCTCAGCTATCATGACATCTTTTCTAGACGTTAACAACGTGTGATCATTCATATGTATATACTATAAGATAAATCTATACTACTAAAATAACGAGGTCAAATTTACTAGCCAGCATGACGTAAAAACGACGAATCAAAGATTTCAACTTTATATATAACTAATATAGGACAATTGTGTTGATTAAAAATTACACCATTCCAGGCCCCTTTGTTTTCCACATAATTAATATTACCAATAATTAACAAGTTCCGGGTTAAATCCGATACCGATACGAATAGTATATGTCACCTGTTACCTTATCTGTACGTTCCGCCTCTGTCAGGCGCACCACCAAACGGTGTATTTGGAATTTCCTATTTGCACGGGTCATAATCACACCCGAACTTCATCATTATACAGAGAGTAACACTACTAAATTCAATCATTGGCACGTTTAGTTTCCGGCTGTAGTAAGAAAACCAGGACGGGTTCAAACAGAAAGATTTTGAAACCAGAGAAAACTGTGCACCTCATTACGAATTCTAAAAATCCAGACTCAAAATAAGGCGTAGGTACTTTAGTTCAGTCACGGACCCGCGATGTCGCGGGTGTGTTCTAGTATATTACATAATTAGAACACAGTTTTGACAGACATCTTAACAGAAGATGAACATTCATGACTATTGACATATAAACGTCTACCCATTGGTATATATTACCTCCGTGAAAAAGCACCTCACTGATATATTTGACATTCCAAAAAAGTGGCACGTCTGTGATATCTTTATAAAGGAAGAGACACCCGGACCGCGTGCATACGGACCTCTCAAAGAGTTGCTGTAAGGGTTTTGAACGAATAAAGAGCGCGGCACTCTCTCTGCATGCGGCTTTGGGTTAACAACGCCATTTCGTTAAGACGTGGATTCCTAATTAAATGTCCCGCACAGCCAAACGAACATCCATGTTAACAAAGATTTATTTATGGCGGACGGGAGACGTCCAAGGGATGACATTATGTCTATACCCTAGTCATCCATGTGATGATATACACGATAGAGAAATGTTGAAATGATAAAACAAATCGTCTTTTCTAAGTCATCTAGCATCCCATAATGGCTTGTATACACCTAGTAGATCAATATGAGGGTAAATAAGATTTTCATTTTATTTATTCAGTTCTTTAAGTTGCGCTTTTGTATTAGCAATAAGCTATTTTCACCAAACAGTACTTACTTTAGGGACTATAAACTAGAGATTCTAAAGAGCCTGTATCGCCCACCTGCATCTTCAACAACGGCCACTCATTAAAGATAATAACTCTATTAAGAGTTAACTGACAAATTCAGTCATATTTGTAGATCTTATCCTATTGATAACTTTTCCTTTTTAAAGTTTCTATTTATCTGTTATAGTTTTCAAGAGAATAGGCAAAAATTACAAAAAAACGTAAAACAATTATCATTAAAGGGCAATAACTCCAATAACGAGTCGACTGAAGATTTCGCTCATTATGGATTATTTTAGATTTTGTCTTGCTGATTATTTGTGCTATTTAAAGTTTCTACCTATCTATTACAGGTTTCGATTATAGGCAAAAATTGAAAAGAAATGGAATAACACGCCATTTTCGGGCAATAACTTCAATAAAGAGTCGACTAACGATTACTGGACACATGTTTTAAACTATATACGGAAATAATAATTGAAGCCATGTTCGGTTAAATTTGACCCAGTAGTTTCAGAGGATTTTTTTAAAAGTTAGCAGACGACGACGGAAGACGAAGGACGACATGAACGACACATAGTGATTATTGAGATTTTTTCATCTTTACACTAATCTATACTGCTCATCTTTGAAATAGACATACCCTATATCCTTTGTTTTTCTATTATAATAATGTTTTATTAAGACATCTTTAACAGTATACGAAGAACGCACATTTTTACAGTTTTATTCAACTACATGTACAATCCAGCATCCTTGGCTAAATGTAACTTTACACAGATCTAGCTTAAGAATTAGTAAATCTTTTTGAAATAGCGTTCACTTAAGAATTAAACTTGGCATCAGCTGTTCAATGTGACATTGCATCTGAACAAACAAACTAACTTAATTATACAACACTTCATTGGCTCTTCGCAATGATTGAATACTACTGTAAATAAGTCACACCCACAATACAAAAGACTAACATATCTGTCTAATGTTAAATAGTTGAAAAGTTTATTTTTAGTTGTTATTTGTTGAATGACGGCAAAATAATTGTATCAAAAGCTTGAGATATTAGCAATCACGTCATTGGAGATAATTAATATGATCAAAACACGGGATCAGAGAAGAACTAAATGTTGATAAACTTACCACAGACAATTTCCTTCCTTGCCGTAGGAAATAACATCATATCATTAATAGAAGTCAGTGCTCCCTCTAGAGTGCCAAACATACTGTCAAGACCTAGGGTAAACAACATCAGAAAAAACAAAACGGACCATAATTGTGGAACAGGAAATTGATTAATGGCTTCTGTAAATGCTATAAATGCCAGGCCAGTACCTGAAGCTGACTGAAATTAGAAATATATTGCATTTTGTACTGCAGGCTAACGAATATATTGTATTTGTCATTAAATCTGAATGTGTATTTAAAAATTTTGTGAAAAGGTATGATTGTGTTACATAAACTTGTGCAAAGATCAACATGCTGTTTTCAACAACAAACACAAAGTCTTACATACACAAACTGTACAACACAAAGAACGTACAATATAATTCAGTACACAAAACAACAAACAACACCTATTATAAGAATGATTGCAGCTATTGAAGCTTCGTAAATTTTACGGCCGCCATCACAAATTGGTTGACCTTTATGGAATATATGTTTCACAGATGACGACGAATATGTTCCAATCGTCATAACCGTAATCCCGTCCTCTTCTCCCCGAATGTGACCTACCGAATTAGACTTATCACCGGATTTGTACTTTCATGAAGAACACAACGAGGGCAAAATGTGGAGCAGGATCTGCTTACCCTTTCGGAGCACCTGCGATCTCCCTCGATTTTTGGTGGGGTTCGTGTTGCTCAGTCTTCAGTTTTAAATTTTGTGTTTTGTGTACTTTTGTTTGTCTTTTGTTTGTCTTTCGTTTTGTTTTTTGTTTTTTTTTTTGCCATGGCAGGCATTGTCAGTTTATTTTCGACCTATGAGATTGATTTCCAGTTGGTATCTTTCGCCTATACCTAAACAGAATGTAGAGTATAAAGTCCTGCCACGTTATACTGTAATATTGGCGGCTGTACTTTGGAGTATATTTCATACAGCAGCGTCATAATCCGTATATGAGGACTATTGTTATCGTTCAATACCTAGATAACAACGGTGCATCATTTCAATACAGAAAATAAAAGAAACTGTTCCTATTGTTTCAAACTATGAGTTTTGGGAATTGATGTCATTCCCTCGGTAACACCAAATGCAACGACTTGACAGCAACAGTATAATTATAACTTTTAAATTTTAGCACCGAAGGAGACAGATTAACATAAACACTTGTTGCTTGTTTCTGAATCCTATTTGTGAATGTGAATATATATTGTAATTTTCGTAATTTGTATAATTCATAATAAAATATTGTTTACACTAATCATAACGTTTATCAATAAATCAATAAGGCCACAATGAATGATATAAAGGACAAGATTTATTCACACCCTATTAGGGACCAACCATTTAACTTCAAGGCGGGGGCATGGTTTTTTGTCTGTGTCAGAATTTAGTTTTTATTTTAGTTTTTTGACGCTATCAATCAAATAATTTTTTTTCAAAATTTAACACTATAAAGTATGGGGAAAATCTGGATAGAAAATTTTTTTTTGTCATCTACTTGACCACAAATTTGTTTTCTTCATCAAATTGGGGATCAGAATTTTTTTTTAGGAAAAAAAAACATAGCCCCCCCCCCCCCCTTTTGAAGTTAAATGGTCGTTCCCTTACCAGCTACCAGTCCTGCAGATGCAATTACGGTTTCCTGAGATCAAAATTCGCTTCACACTACCAAAATTCCAAAACAGAAAAAAAATCATGCATTGGTTACTAGACAGATGGTACCAGTGGGTACATACTTTCAAACATTAGCGGTACCTACCCAGCGGGGGTTATATAAACGTATGATATATTGATACATGAACCGATTTCGGCGTGTATTTCAATTACATAAAATTCCTCAGAAAGGGTTTTTAAACGATATCGTTGTATTCATTTTGTAGAATAAAATTCATTCTGAAAGTTATAAAAGGTAAGGAACGTCATTGTAAACACAATATCTTTTTTCACCTTTTCGTATCGAAGTCTCTTGTAATTTTCATACTGACTAAGTCAATATCCCTACTGGTGGACTTCAAGTCCCTGGAGGCATCATTCACCAGGTAGTCTCTAATGCATCAAATGAAGTTTGGTATTTTATATATTTGTATTATATACTCATAAAATTGAGTTCATAGTAAAATTGTTTCATATTCAGGTTTAAATGTTTTGTCTTGATCTCTATATCACGGACAATAAATTATTTGTAGACAAGATAAACATACGAACTTACTTTTTATCGTTGGAAGATAAAATTTTAACACGCAAAGTTTGACCAATATTTGATGCGCAACATAATATTCGGTTCGTCTATGATTATTTACATCTCATATATTTGATATGAGGGTCTGGATGGGGTTTATAGAATAGAGAATAATGGGCAAAATGTGCAGAATAAATGGCAAAATAAATAAAGAATAGAGAAACATAGGACAAAGAAATAAAAAATAGAGAATAATAGGGTGCTAAAATATAAATAATTGAGAATAACGGACAAAAAATATAAAGAATACAGAAAAATGACCTAAATAATTAAAGAATACAAAAACGAAGGACCTCATATAGACCCTCTAATATAGCTAACCTCGGAAATGATAGTTTTGAAATCACACTTAGTTACTGTTCCGTTTCCATCTGATATGGACATCGTACTATTATTATCTCTCAAACACTCTTCATATGTGGCAGTAGCTTTGAATCCTGAAACAAAAAGACGTAATTACATTTTTTCCCAAATTTACATCCATGTGAATGTAACAAGCATTTCAACTTCAACTTCGTACTTTTTTTACCTTTTTAACTTTTTTGGTTCGAGCGTCACTAATGAGACCTTTGTAGACGAAACGAGCGTCTGGCGTACACAATTTTAATCCTAATATCTGTGATGAATTTATGACAAGGCAGTTTATACGGATGATAATAAGGGTTCGTGTAGCTAAGAAGTATATGTCGTATTCTTCCTTTTTCTTGTGATTATTTTGTTGTATGATTATCTTCAACCTATGACTTTTGACAAGCCTTTTGTAATTTCCTATTTTCATTTATGTTTTGTTGTCTTCCATGTGTAAACCAATGATACAAGATACAAAGGAATTCGTTTAATATCTATTTTTGTATTGCTGTAGAAAATGTGTTTGATTTTCTTTCAATCCTTGTGAAATCTTCCAGGTTTTAATCTGACAGTCATTAAGTCTCACAATCGATAGCAATGTATTGCAGTTAGTTTACGCTACATAAATGTGAATACAGTGAAAAAATAATATTATGTAATAAGAAGAAATTCATTAATGTCAAATAACTGCATGGATGGAAACGTTCTCGTAATTAAATAAGTTCAATTATTCAAACGAAATGTCAGTTAAGATGTATTCGATTAGTCACACTAGGAGCATTACTCAGACTGGTATCTATCAACCATACCTAACACACAAAATACTACTGTGGCAGTGAATATAGATGTAAAGAAATCAGCAATGGTAACAAAAAACGCTTCTGTAACAAAATTACTCCGCACTGGGTTATACGACGCCAGGGCAATCAGACAACCAAAAGCTAATCCAAAAGAATAGAATATCTGCGTTGCTGCATCTAACCATACTTGTGGATCGGCTAACTTTTTCCACTGAAATAAAATAAGAGATATACATGTCTGAAATAGTTGAAAAAAGATTGGAGAGGACAGCGTTCTGTAATGTCTTTTCGCCAACTCAAAATAAAACTGCTGATTTGTTTGTCCTATGTGTATATTTTTGAGTTAGACGTAAGTGTCATCGGAAACGTAGAGAGCCAAAATTTTTCTCAGCCAAGGAGATGTACCTGCAATGGAAGCTATATACACATCAAAAGACCATAAATCAACTATGAAAGAGAAATTGTTTTCAATTTTGAAATGAATATACATCCACAATAATCTAATTAAAATGCAGATCCTGTAAGGATCTGAAAACACTTCGTTCTTCTTTCTGTCCTGGTAATTATAACATAAGCTAATGCAATTTCCGCCTTTGAATTTTTTAAGGTGTGTACCATTAGGACGAAACCAAAGGATCCCGAAAGTCCTTCAAATAGAAAGTAGAACAAAACGTTGCCAGGTCCTTGTTTAGGAAGTCTGTATACATGATCTGTATTCCAATCATATTGCATGCACCGCAGGGCGATCAAATATATTCCTCTACAGTTCAGATTGTTTTCAAGTTTTCACTTGTTTAAAAGTCTTGCACTGTATTACAATGAACATTACTACTGTAGCAACTTGTTAAACAACAAACTGATATATACATTGTAGGGTTGGTAAAGAACCGGTGTTTTTATACATACGCGATGCTATCGGTTTGCTATTATTGTTAGAAGATAATGTATATTCGGACTTCAAATTTACTTTTATTCCAGCAGAGAGAAAATGAGAATCAAAGTTAGGTGATCACATAGACCTTCCCGGATAGGATCAGCAGTTTGTTTGATCAACGGTCACTTAATTATTTGTGTTGCTATAGGGATGTGATCGAAAAGTTATAAACATGCATGTAGACTTCAAATAAATTTTACATTTACCTCCGGTATAAACAAATGTTCTAATCCACTTTGATATCCATGAAGAGTAATACCACGAAAGAAAAATATTACAAGCACTACGTATGGAAAAGTTGCAGTAAAATATACAACCTGAAACCAAAAAAATATTAATATCTAAATATAAAAGATAAAAACAATTTATTATACAGTAATTATTTTTATTCCTTCCGTTTCGAGTACTAAAGGCAGACACACCAAATAGTTATTCCACGAGCATGAACTAAACATGGTCTTCAACTCGTTAATTGCCTTCATGACCATGCTAAAATTACAGACGTTCGAAATAGCTTTCCAATAAATGTCAGAAGCTAGTTTGTTAATGAAAACATTACATAGTCCACCCACAATAAGATATGAATGTTGGAAATCAATGAGCATATTTTGTGGCGAACCACAATGAAATTGCTAAAGGTTCTTATATGTCATTACATATCCGTAATTTTACGAGACAGTCTTTATAATTGGAATTTAGAAAATTTACAGCATAGCGACAAAAAACTTATTTCTCATCAATATCATGTACATGTAAGAGTGTCTGGATGGGGGTCACTCATTTTTTTATTCTTTAATTTTGTTAACCATTTTCTGTCAGAATTCTACTCAAACCAACATTGTAAATAAACCAAAACAAAACAACATACGGAAAACCAAAATGGCCGCCTACTTTCCGACCAACTTGACAACAAAAATAATTCAATACCCACTAAACACCACAGGACACCGAACCGACCGTGCGATACCTTAACAGCTAGTAAAGGTCGTTAAAATCACCATAGTAGTAATGTTTTCTCTATGCTTTATTTGATTTGCCCATTATTCTCTATATTTATTTTTTTGTTTATTCGTTATTATTTGTCTATTCTATATTTGTTTGCTCTTTATTCTGCACTTTTTGCCCTTTATTCTATATTCTGTAAACCCCTTTCAGACCTTGATGTAATATTAGTTACATATTGTGGTAGTGACCTAATACGATATATATGGAATTTATTGACCCCATATATATCGTATTAGGTCACTAGCACACTGTGTAACAAATTTATCTTACCGACTATCTTAACATGTGACATTTAGATTAGTGACCTATCAAAGTGATCAAGTCTTCTATATAAAAAGCCTACTGCTATTGGTCTATACAAAAACAAACATCTTGTTAGCTTTTAATGTGTTTTTTGCATTTATTTCAAGCGTTCATCATCAATTTCTTTGTTTTTGAAACGTTTCAGATTTTTCCTCAACGCCGTGTTGTTTTTATAAATGGACGTTACATCACTTCTAACCGTGTATTAGAATACGCCCCGCCTACTGACCCTATATGAAATATACACGGTCTCCATGCGGTAGCTTTTAACCAATAATATTCCTAGAAATGTATAGGAGGTAAGATAAGAATGCATAAATGTCAGCTGTTATGTATTGTAAAATCGGTTCAACTAGATTTATTGATTAGTCTAGAACTGTATTTAGTTTGGAGAATATTACTTTTTCTGGTTAAGGTATTCTTTTAACGTCTTTGGTTTTTGAATATATTAGATTCCATTTTTTATTCCTTCGTATAGAGGTATTTTAATTTCGAATTGAATCTTTTTTTTATTGTAGTTTTAATTGGATTTTAAAGCGTTGACAAAAATGTGCATTCGGTCAACACCTTTAAACCCTAATAAAATTGATTTAATGTGAAAACTTCAATTCTCATAATTACATTTCAATGTTGAAGCCTTGTAATAACAAGTTTAATCAAGCTTTAAGTTTGTTTTATTCTAAATATTCCTATGCAAACGTTGTCATATAGATCCCATGCAGTCATGATTGAACAATAGTTGTCTTCGTTCAAAACAGAGGAACCCTTATGATAAATGTAAATAATGTACTATTTATAAAACAATATTAAACAACGATAAATTTCAGGCTTAGATAACAATAAATTAGGCATACGGCTATAGTGCCTTGTTTGTTTTCCCTGGTCGTTGTTAAAAAAAATCTACAGCGTTTATCAATAAAACTCGAAACTTCCATTAGAAGAACAAAGACATCTTGATGAATTTTGACTGCCATAAAAAGACCGATTTGATTTAAAGACAAATTAGGAACATGTTATACTCTTTGGAATGTAAATTTTTTTTAAGAAAGAAATAATGTTACACAGGATGACTTTGAAACATCTATTTAAGTTATAGCTTGCATAGAGAGCCTCGGTGGCCGACTGGTCTAAGTAGTCGAACTAATGTATCACTAGCTTGTCAACACTGAGGTTGTGAGTTCGAATCCAGCACGGGGCAGGTGCACTCGACTCCAATCTTAATTGACTAGGATTGTCAGTTTAACTACCGAAGGTTGGTGGTTCTCTCCGGCTTCCTCCACCAATAAAAACAGACCGCCACGAAATAGCACAATAGTGTTGAAAGTGGCGTTAAAACACCAATCAATCAATATATCTTGTATATTTAAACAGTCACATTTCAATGAATACGAACATATAACATATTCATGGATAATGAATCCATTACACGTTCACAAGTCTGTAGCTAGTACTGCTTGAATATATTACACACATGTATCACTTACTTTTCCGGATGACTTGATGCCTTTTACCATACATAGAAAGACAACAACCCATGCTGCCAACAGTGCTAACACCAATTTCCAGTTAAGTACACTTTTAGAATTAATTGACGGTGCTACATTTAATGTTTCTCTGTACCAAAAATATGTCGTTGGACCGCTAATCTAGAAGACAAGTACAATTTTTAAAAATAAATGTGTATGCATTTTAAAAAATCTCGTTGGGAAATTATGCTTTGTTATACAAGGTGCATGTTCTGCGCATATGGACTATCCAGATTTCCTCTTTGTTTTTGTTTTTCTATTTAACTCAAGGTACACTAATAAAGCTACGATTCTCCGTCGATATTTAGAGAGGTCTTTAAATTACAGAGGTATAAACATTCTTAACTGTAGAGAAAAGTTTAGAATTAAAGAGTTTTGTTTTAGTTGTTGACATGCATAGTACAAAATACTTTGTAAATCCTTATGTAAAAAGGTTTATCTCTTTTTAATTAGCAGATTTTCCCAGATTAAAACCATTTTTATTATAGGTATAAGAAGATGTGGTATGAGTGCCAATGAGACAACTCTCCGTTTATGATAGAAAGATATTTACAGGAAGATACAAACAGCATAATATTTATGCTTAATACTGGTAAGTCTCTTGAGTTTGAGGAATTGCTTGAATCAAAATTATAGCCAAAAATGCAAACCTTACCATGAAATTCAATTACTAAAAATGTATTTTTGTCCCCGTATATCTGGATGGATTTTGTGTAACTTGTGTGAACAAACAAACTATTTTTAACATGCAAAGAAGTCATTAAAGCATAATTATCGCAAACATAAATACATTACAGTCTCAAAAGACTACAAAATGTATGCTAATGAGATCGAATGTGATGTGAAAAATATTGTCGTAGAGGATTATAGAGTAAACTAATTACAGTATATTTCAGCAGGAGTGGAAATCAGTTGAACAAATCAAGTTAATACCTATCCACCAGAGATCAAAAGTCTATAAAAATGGATCAACAGTCTACTTATCACAACACGAATAAGATTGAACAACATGCATCGCATAAACAATTAAAAATTTGGTTGCTGGCAATGCTCCTGAAGGGTCAGCATTAATCACCCCATTGGATTGACCTGTCGTGTTGTTACTGACAACTAAAATTTAAAAAAAACCAATGTAATTTATTATACTCCATGTCAAAATGCGGGATTCTGATTGGTTAATACGAGGGAGACAATTTACTCTATACCATGGCAAATACTCTATTACCCTTCACGGAGACGCTTGATCATTCGTGCGCTTTACTAAATAGGGATGATTGTTATGTACAGTTACTTTGAATTTGAAATTTAACAGACAGCAATAACAGAACATTCAGTATAATAAATTAAATAACACATAGCTAAAAGGATGATAGAGCAGATTGTTCCCCCTCGAAAAGACATTGTCAACCTTTGCTTCGCAGCGGTTAACAATGTTTTCTCGGGGTAATAATCTGCTCTATCACCCTCTCAACTATGTGTTATTTATATAAAGCCGCATTTGGTGACTTTTTAGTAATGCCTGAGAGAAAAATTTTTCCTTCGAATAACGTTTAAAAATTACCTATATCGTAATTGTAATTAAAAAAGAAGAGACTTACACAAGCATTATTAACAGCCTAATAAGGTAAACACAATACGTGTTTTGCAATAAAATGTAATCATTCCGCGAACGTGTAGGGACCACTTAAAAACAACATGCCTCTTTAGATAACGCACATTTGTGTTTATGAAATTTTAGTAGAGTTAGCTGTTCGATCGAGTTCTCAAGAGTTATAAGTAATCTATACACAAATAAAAACCAAAAAACGGGGTTAGCAATGAGGTTTTAACAGTGAAAACAACTAAGATTTACGAGAAACACCTAGCGTGTTATTGATGAGACTTGACGTTCTTAGCCCCAAGAGTGCATGCATTTAACCAATCTATTTTTATGAAGATCTTGTTTCTCATGCAATTTTTATTTCCTCTGTGGAGTTGTGTAGATTATTATTTTGTTTGTCTATTTTTCTTCTTTCTTATATGTCTGGTGCTTTCTGTGACCTGGCATAATATTTTCGATTTCTCGATAAATTCTTATATTTCTGAATATATCATTTCTATTCTTTAGATTACTCACCTGGCATTCTTTATCTACAATAGTAACGTTACCCTCGATATGTGTCGGACATGTGGACCATGGAAGAGGACTTTGAAAACTTTGAACGAGATATAAAACACACCATGCCATAATTGTGTTATAATACAATGCGAGGTTAAATGATACTGCTGCTGAGGCGATACCAACTCCTTGAAGATATGGCGAAACTTGATTCCAGGCGCCAACGGCACCTTTGCGCAATCGTTGTCCAATCGCTAGCTCTAAATAAAAAAGAGGTATTCCTTCAATCGCCAGCATAACAGCATATGGAATTAGAAAAGCCCCTGAAATAATAAAAGAAAGTGGTTTATCCTTATGATTAAAGGGTCATGAAGTAAGTCAATATATCAAAGAGAACTGTAAACTTATAAAAATTGAACCCTGTTTATGAAACGATAAAAAAATGACGAGCATAATAACACATTTGTTTTACTATTTAGATAAATATCATTGTTCATGTGCCTTAATGTACCAAACTCCTAAAAAAAGACAGTGACAGAAACTCCCCCTTTTGGTTCTTGGTAGGAATATCATAATACAATACTGATACAACAGGAAATTACTTCTAGACAAATATAGTATTATTGAAACTTCAAACTGAAAATATATATCAGAATTTGGAAGACAACGTTTTTCAACAAAACATTCGCATTTCTTTGGACACGTGTGTGCACATCTTTGCAGATTCCTTTTTTCATAAGTATGAAAAATAGTTAATCTAAAGACAGTCAAGGTTTGTACAGCTAAATTTAATTAAAGGTCAAATTGTAGAGGTTATTTCTCTGTCTCGTAATTGTTTATTTTAAGCTTGTTCTACCTTTTACGTCTAAAACCCTTGAGGCTTTTGATTACTTCCTATGTATATATCAAATTCGTAGACACATCATTCAGATATTTTTGGATGGTAGACAAATACAATTTCAATAAAATGTATAATAACTGTCAATTGAATGCTACTAAGCCAAACTGTATGCAACATTTATCAAGATAATATATCACAACACAATGTGCTCGTGTATGGCTCTGATCAATCATTAAAAAAGTACTTGATATTAAGCAAACACTGCTAATGACACCGATAATCAATAACAGTATTTTTTTTATCTGCAAATTCTTTTAAATAAATTACGAATTCGATATTAATGGCTGCAATAACAGTCTTGATGAATCCAGAATAAAATAAAAATGCTTGTGAGTATAGAGCTTACTTTTGAAATCAGTGGTAAATAGTTCATGCATGTTCAGGACGAAATCAAATTAATTTCGAGATTTACAGACATTTACTTTTCAGGTGTTTCACGTTCTATACAAATAATCTCAAGCAATTGTCTGTTGCTATATACAGGCTGTCTTGGTTTTACGAAGAAAAGAAAAAAAAAAGCCAGATTTACCAAATCTGATAAAATATCTGTTTCCTTGACTTCTTTCGAATTTCGAATCGTGTACATGTTGTGTGGGATATTTCTTTTTGTGAGAAATTAAATTTTAACATAAGAGATTATTACAGATATCATTTTTTGGAAAACTCTAAATTTTCTGCTGACATCAAAATCGGAAGAAGTAAAGACGACAGATTCAAGGCCAAGTAAAAAAGACGACGTATTAAAGGCAAAGTAAAAAAGACGAAGTACAAATAATAGTCACCAAAACACTATACATACAAAAAAAAATCCAAAGATTTAGGAACAATGATCCAACTGAAATGGGAATTCCTGTTTCACTAGGGGTAAACACTGTCAACTGGTTGTTGCTTACAAAGGATCGTGACATAGTGTTACTCTCAAGAGCACCATTGGATACTTTCCTTGTTCCTCAATTCGCATGTTTTATACTTCATTCTTTATTATTCAATATAGATTAATATGATTCGAGTTTTAGTATTCATCTATATATATATACATATATAAGTGATCTATTGTTTTATATTTTCCTACATTTGTTACTTAAGACTTACGTAATTCCCTAATTATGAATTATAACGACACCATCGATAGTTTTTCATAGTGAGACTAAGTCAGGCCTTTTTAAATAATTAATGATTATTCTTTATTCTGACGTTAATACGTTTTGGTATCTAACAGCAACTTAAAAAATATAAAATATCCTGATATGTAACACATATTATGGGGTACATGTATTAGTGGGAAAAAACACGACACTATAATGCTACTTTTATGTTGCCAGATTGAAATGTTATTCTTCACAATACTTAACAAGACTTCGTACAATGTCTTCGTTCATATATTTAAACCAACTTCCTCCGCAATGTTCATAGTAACCTAAAGTTCAAGAACAGCTTAGACATTTTTGTAATCCATATTTCCAGCATAGTATAATTGATGCGAATGGAGACAATCATAAACCTTCGATATTTATATTTATATAAAACACTTGTCATCTTTTTAGTAAAGATATGATCTTTTAGATGATTGGCTCTTCTTGGACACCTCTATGTAATCTTCCTTATACAGTATATATCATTGAAATAAAAGACAACTCAACAAGAATTTGGAGATCTAGATGAATAAGTACCCATTGAAATGTCATCTGTGTGTTGCATTATAATACATCAAACAATACATAACGTGTAAATTATACATGAGTCAACTTCCACATTGCAGGATTCACGTAGTTAAGACCTGTTTTGTGATTATAAGCATAAGTTTCATAATATTTGGTTGAGGCAAACTAAAGTTAGAGAACGGAAACGACAGATTTAGCAATTTTTCCATTTATAAAGGAGCATAACTCAAGAACGGTAAAAGTGACGCCACCCAATTTCGAACTTGATCTGTTTTTTGTGGTAACAAGCATTGTGTATAAGTTTTATAACATTGAGACAAACTAACGTTAGAGAACGGAAACGAAGAAATTCAGCAATTTATATGTTTATAAAGGGGTATAACTCATGAAGGTAAAAGTGACGCAACCCAATTTCGAACTTGATCTGTGTTTTGTAGTAATAAGCATTGTGTATAATTGTCATAATATTTGGTTGTGGCAAACTAAGTTACGTTAGAGAATGGAAACGACAGATTTAGCAATTTTTCTATTTATAAAGGAGCATAATACATGAACGGTTAAAGTGACGACACCAAATTTCGAACTTGATCTGTGTTTTGTGGTAATAAATATTGTGCATAAGTTTCATAACATTTGGTTGAGGCAAATTAATTTTGGGGACGTTCGGGGCGGACAGACGGACGGAAAAGGGGTAACATTTAATGCCCCTTCGCCTTAGCGACGGGGGCATAAAAACAGTGAATCACAAATTGATTGACAATTGATGAACTATTCTTCAGATGATCGGATATTGTACAAAATTATATTACTACACAGTACTCTTGTGATAACACGTTGTTGTTTCTATAGTTAACTTATATCCTCCTTTTTAAATCATAATCTTTTCAGTCTTGTTCGCTGTATGTTGTATTTTGTTTTCATCTAAAATACTCTAAATTGATATGTTTCTAGTGAAAGTGATTCAGGTAAAGATTATATCCATATATAGTTTCTTGTCTAACTGACAATGCACTAGAAACTTGGCAACAATCCTTAATAAGCATTAATCAAAATGCCACTGGAAACCCAGACAATGTTTTAAATCAAATATGTCCACTAAGGCAGTTATATTCCTTTTTAATATAGATTTATTTGAAAATGAAATCGCCATAGATAGAAAACTTCAAGGCCTTCGTTAGCTTAATAATATTTGTTACATAGTGTGCTAGTGACAAAATACGAGATATATGAAATTTACTGACCCCATGCATATCGTATTAGGTCATTAGCACACTGTGTAACGAATTTATCTTACCGACTATCTTAACATGTGGCATTTGGACTAGTGGCCAATCAAATTGCTCAAGTCTTCAATATAAAGAACCTACTTCCATTTGTCTATATAAAAACAAATGCCAACATTAACAACTTGTTAGCTTTTAATGTGTTTTCTGCATTTATTTCAATCGTTCATCATCAATTTATTCATCTGTTGTCCCGGCGAAACGTTTCAGATTTTTCTTCAACGCCGTGTTGTTGTTTTTTTTAAAAAGGGACGTAACACCACTACTAACCGTGTATTGAAATAAACCACGAGTTATACTCATTGTCGAATGCCCTATAGTTGTGTATATTCTCGTCTTATGCATGGTCACAGATGGATACATTGTAGTTGTCTTATCGACAATCATACCAAATATCCTTATTTTTATTCATCAGATGTAAAATTAAACATTTAATTAAGGGAATACCACAATGATTATTAAATAAATTTAAACTAAATGTGTACGTGAAAGAAAATTCCTTTAATTCTAAAAGTGAAGTATTAGAACAATTTTAAATCAATTCTAATCAATTTTAATCATATAACATAGCTTATTATGTGAATTGTACCAGATCCAAATAGATTTTTTTTATTGAATGAGTGTTGTTTGGACATATGTAATCGTTATCGTTTTAAAGCTTTCATCAACGCAGTTAATCATGACAAACGTTCGTCCTATGATGAATCTGCAAATCAGTTTGCTAATAATTTGATACTCTGGTTTTGAACAACGAATCTAAGATAACTTTATTACACTCGATAACGTTTGGTGATATTAATTTAAGCAATCAGATTCCTTTTTTTAAATATGACTGAACGAAGCGTTAGGGGAACGCATCAATGATATGACAACACACCTACACACACATACACACACTCCGATAAAAACAACATCTTTACACGTAGGGTCAAACATATCATACACCGACCCAAATCCTATTTTGTAAAATTTCAATCGTAAAAAGAGAAGCAAATGGGAATAATTGGTTGAATCGTTAAAAAAAGTTTTTGTAAATGTCAACTAATGCACTTAACAAAAACACACGCAGTTTCAGAGATGAGTAATATAGAATGGAATTATCATCCCACTACAACTGCAATCAGATAAAGTGGTATGAAAAGATGAGCAAGAATAATGTATCTCAAAACTAGTCACCTACCATAAACAAAACGTTAGCTATTACAAAGGAAAAAAATGAACATTTTACTAAACGTCCTCAACGCAATAAGAGATAAATGATTTAGTATGTTATAAAACTTTTCATTAGATCAAATATCAATTACCGGTAATGTATTAAGCAAGAAAAATTAGCAAATAAATAAATATTTCCGTTATTTTAGTATAACACTGATACATCTTACCACTTATCTTACAACAGAGAAGTCAAATTTGAAATTAAATCTTAAAATTCTCTTATACAGATCAGGATGAAATAGAACCAATAATTCCCTGTATAG